TGGTCAAGATTGTAAGTAACCTCACGTCCAACATGAATGAAAGATTAATTTCTGTTTTAATCCTGATGGACCCGAGTGCAGCTTTTGACACGGTGGATCATACAATTCTTTTAAACAGCCTTCAAAACTACATTGGCATCTCTGGTACTGTTTTTAGCTGGTTTAAAGCATATCTGAATCATGGCCGTAGCCAGGTATGAGGTCAGCGAGGTCCGGACCTCACCTATTTTTTCAGAGTTTTTTTTTTTTTTCGCCAAATATGCCCAACTGAATAAAACATAAACTCATAAAAACTTGAAACCTCTCTGTAAAATGTGCTTGTAATTTGTAAATTGTGGTAAACATCTATGGGCTTTGTGTTCTGTTTGTGCCATGGCCATAGCCAGGCATGAGGTCAGCGAGGTCCGGACCTCACCTATTTTTCAGAGGTTTTTTTTTTTTTCCCGCCAAATATGCCCAACTGAATAAAACATAAACTCATAAAAACTTGAAACCTCTCTGTGAAACGTGCCTGTAAAATGTAAATTGTGGTAAACATCCATGGGCTTTGTGTTCTGTTTGTGCCTGTGTGTGAGTTGCAGTGAACAGCTGTTTGATCAGCTGATGCACGTACCCGCGACTGCGCCCCGTGAAACCCCATTCAAAAACTATAGTGTTTTTATTATTAGCACTTTGTAGAACACATCCCCACCCATCTACACCTAGGTGACCACAGTATTTTTTTTAGATAATTTGGCACTAGTTCAGCCTGTTGAATCATCTGATCAAAGCCAGTTTATTTACTTTTATCTACAGCAGAGTGCGCGCCTATGCAACTATTTGAGGACCTCGAGTCACGCGACGCATGCTTTGTATAGTGCAGTTCAGGGGACATCAAAGTTATTGTTACACGTTTGCATGATAGCGCTCTTCTAAAGCCGCTACAAAATAAACCCAACAGTTTAAAAACAGTAAAAAAAAGTAGACCTTACTCTGTACCTTATATGTCAACTGAATAAAACATAAACTCATAAAAACTTGAAACCTCTCTGTGAAACGTGCCTGTAAAATGTAAATTGTGGTAAACATCCATGGGCTTTGTGTTCTGTTTGTGCCTGTGTGTGAGTTGCAGTGAACAGCTGTTTGATCAGCTGATGCACGTACCCGCGACTGCGCCCCGTGAAACCCCATTCAAAAACTATAGTGTTTTTATTATTAGCACTTTGTAGAACACATCCCCACCCATCTACACCTAGGTGACCACAGTATTTTTTTTAGATAATTTGGCACTAGTTCAGCCTGTTGAATCATCTGATCAAAGCCAGTTTATTTACTTTTATCTACAGCAGAGTGCGCGCCTATGCAACTATTTGAGGACCTCGAGTCACGCGACGCATGCTTTGTATAGTGCAGTTCAGGGGACATCAAAGTTATTGTTACACGTTTGCATGATAGCGCTCTTCTAAAGCCGCTACAAAATAAACCCAACAGTTTAAAAACAGTAAAAAAAAGTAGACCTTACTCTGTACCTTATATGTCAACTGAATAAAACATAAACTCATAAAAACTTGAAACCTCTCTGTGAAACGTGCCTGTAAAATGTAAATTGTGGTAAACATCCATGGGCTTTGTGTTCTGTTTGTGCCTGTGTGTGAGTTGCAGTGAACAGCTGTTTGATCAGCTGATGCACGTACCCGCGACTGCGCCCCGTGAAACCCCATTCAAAAACTATAGTGTTTTTATTATTAGCACTTTGTAGAACACATCCCCACCCATCTACACCTAGGTGACCACAGTATTTTTTTTAGATAATTTGGCACTAGTTCAGCCTGTTGAATCATCTGATCAAAGCCAGTTTATTTACTTTTATCTACAGCAGAGTGCGCGCCTATGCAACTATTTGAGGACCTCGAGTCACGCGACGCATGCTTTGTATAGTGCAGTTCAGGGGACATCAAAGTTATTGTTACACGTTTGCATGATAGCGCTCTTCTAAAGCCGCTACAAAATAAACCCAACAGTTTAAAAACAGTAAAAAACAGTAGACCTTACTCTGTACCTTATATGTCAACTTCAAGAAATCATTTGTTAAGTGAAAGTACCTATGGGTTAGAAAGTTAGTGGGCGCACTTTTAGGTATTAATGTTCAGTTCATCGAGCAAGTTTTCAGCTCATATTAATTTTAATATACCCATTCCATAGAAAACAAGTCACAGAGAGCAGGGCAAACATGTCCAAGAGATTAAAACAGAATACACTGGATGTAATTCTGGCAAAGAAAAATAAAGAAATTGACAAAGAGGAAGATAGCAAACATGAAACCAAGGAGGATGGAAGAGAGAATAGGGAAAGTAAGGTGGAGCACAGAGAGGAGAGTCATTCAGAGATGGAAGGGGAGCAGAGGCACACAGAGTAGAGTGGAGCGCAGAGAAACACAAATAAACATCTTGTGTGACATGTAGCCTAAAAAAAAAATTAATAAAAATTTAAAAACAATATCGAAAACTTTTTTCAGGGCGCGCTTTGCACACACATCATGGACCTCACCTTTTCCAAAATCCTGGCTACGGCCCTGCTCATGAGGTACATTCAACCTTCTAATGGTTTTGTGTGTGAGCCGTGTCGGGCTGCCCTAAACTCCCCTCCCTCCTCTCGGGCCGCTATCGGCTGTGCTGCTGTTTTGCTTCTGTGCTGCTGGTTTGCTCCTTTGCTGCTGCGCTGTGGTGTTTTCTGCTACCACTGTTGCCTGCTCCGTTGTACTCCTGTCTCATCGCCGTTGGTAAGGCTGTCACTGTCGCCATCCAACTTATGGGTGGTGTCCTGCTTAGTGTGAGGTGATGTCATCACCCTGTGGACTAAATTTTAGGTAACCTGTTGCCTCAGCTTCCTTATTTTGTTTGCATTTAGCCTATTTTGGTTTAAATCATTTGTTATTATTTTGTGATTTGAGAGTTTGTATGTTTTGTTTCTTCGGTTTGATTATTATTATTATTATTATTATTATTATTTGTTAGTTATTAGTATTTGGTTTATTTGCATGTTTGTTTGGTTTGGTCATTTCTAAATACGGTTGAGTTATTTTCTTTTCTCTGCTTGCTAGTTTTCTTTCTTTTGTATTTGTGGTTTATTTTTGATTTAACCAAAATTTGCTAATTGCACATCAATTTTATAGGCAATATTGTTGCTGTGGTTTAGAGAAGTGTGTGAGTGTGGATGAATGAGTGAAAAATATTTTATTTACTTTGTTTATTGGTGAAATTGTTAAATAAAAATCAAAGGTATTTGTACACGGGACCACGGTCTCCCGTCTTCAATGGCAGACGAACCTGTGTGTGCCCTAACACTACATTAAGAAGTAATTCTACTCTCCAGGTGAAACTCCTGGGGTGGTGTTGTTGGCAACAAAATCAATTTCGTAGTTGGTAATCAGTAGTTGATTAGTTAATTGGTAAATAGTTGTTACAGTATTTTACTATATCTTCTTCATAATTCCATTCTCCGTCAACCCCGCTCCCGGCTGCCACACAAGGTAACCCCAAAACTCTCCAGCGAGCGCCGCAAAAATCTCCCGGATTTTATAATCCAAATGTTGGCAGGTATGGGAACCAGTGGAAAGTCAAAGCCATAGACTGTATATACTATGGACAACTTGGTTCCGCCTACCGCCTGCATACGGATTTGAAGCCAAAAAGCTCTCGTTATTTCCGGGATTTTTCTTCATTTCCTGAAACCAGCGCTGCGCAGTAGCAATGTGCGCATTCGGCCGCAGTCGCAGAGGGTCGTTGTGATGATGCTCGGCTCAAGCGTGTCCCCCGGAAGAGCTACACAATCCCTGAACGCCCATAGGCTGTATCAGGTGTCAATCATAGCTAACATGAACCCCCTAATAACTTTTAAAAATGGAGCTTCACTGAAAAAAAGAGGACTTGAGCACAAACCAGTCTTACAATAACTACATGTCAACATCACAAGCAGGGGGGAGAAAAAATTATGTTCTGTGTAATAAATTTATAAAGTTTGTCCACAGCTCCATAAGCTTTGCTGGTGGAGGCAGGATTTATTACCTATACTGCAGCCCATCAACAGGGCTCTCAAGTTTTGAACTGAGCTTAGAGTGAGATTTTTTTTCCTTGGGGGGGGATTTATTGAAGATAATTATTATTATAATAATCTAATAAATACAATGGAGTGTAAGGGCTACATTAAGAAAAAACAATTGTTTTTTATCAAGATTAAAGTTATTATTTAGGAGAATAAAGTCATTAATTTATAAGAATAAAGTAGTAAAGTTACCTGTTGTGGAGGAGAGTTGTTAAAATCAGCACTGTGGAGCATTTAGATGAATTGTACTTTAGTATAGGTTTCACAAATATGGAGATACTTAATCCTTTGGTACATGAGCATTACACTGTCATGAGTATCAGAACTTACAGAAAAGAATATATGAGACATGCTGCTTTTGTGGAGGGGAAAATGGCTGGAAATGGCTGTACAGAGGCTAAATTCATCAATACAGCAGTTAATAGCAATGGCATAGGGCTTTAGTTTATCATATGAGTTTATCTGCCATGAGGTGTTGAGGTCTCTGCATGTGTAGGTTACTGACTTACTGTAATCATCGGGTCGATCTCGTCCTTATAAAAACCTGCTCTATTTCGGCAAGTGTCTGTCTTCTTCTGTAGTCAAACCGCAAGATATCAAAATCTACCCGGATACAGCAATGCTGCTTTTTGATTGGCTGTTCAGTAGATATACTTTATTTGATTGGCTTGCGCGTGGCACGCAGCTTCTGAACTCTCGGAGGAATTCAATTGACCTGTTCCATCGTAAAAGAGGTGCAACTTGTGGACATCTCCATGTTCATTTAAATGCGTGAGAAATACAATGTGTGGCGTGTGAGCGTGTGAACGGGTGGGAATGCGTGTGTCACACGCTGAATGCGTGAGACTTGAGAACCCTGCATCAACAGAGGGTGCTGTTCTCGGAGTGGCTTCACCCAGCGAAAAGGCAGACGCTGTCCATTCTAAATACAGTCTGTGGTCAAACCCCAGTACTGACCATACTGGAGCGCTCACCAGGGAGTTCAATCCTAATTTTGCCGATTTTCAGAGGTCAGAAAATGGCCTTTCCTTCGGAAGCTTGTCTTAACCCTACCCCGGGCACCGTTTTCGGGTGTCAATGCCCTCCACACCCCAACAGTGGGTGGCGGTAGTGCACCTTAACGCCGATGCCACCCGTCACAAAACAAGAAGAAAAAGAAGAAGGAAAAGGAAGGAGAATAAGCTAACGTCAGACGGAGCGACAACATGGATCCAAACACGACTATTCTCCGAGTCAAGAGAAAAAGAGGGACCGACCCCGCGGACGCTTTGTTGTTGGCGTGTAAGCGTATTCGCCCGGAGTCGTCTCAGAGCTCAGCAGAAACGGTACCGGAGCCCAATGAAGCCGAGGTGGAGAACTCTGTCTTCAAACTCGTGGCGACCGTCGCGACTCAGGTGAGAGGCCCGCTGTGAGTTAAGGAGGAGGCTAATGGCCACGCAGCTTGGGATGAAAACGACCAAGAAACGCATCTGGACAGATGTAACGAGTAATTAAATGTATCTGGTTACGTAAAAACCTTATTTGACAACATGTATTGATTCAGTGAACTACGTATATCAGTGCTCGTTGTTGTTAGCAGACATTAGCTTCTTGTTATGTTAGCCGGAGCTAGCGTTAGCTTTTTATTGGCGTTAAGTGAAAGTGAGTCGTGTTTGTAGGCCTAAATGCGTGACTTAACCACTGCTAAATTGATCTAGACGAAAATGTAAAATAATTAGTGTATTTGTTTTCCATCCTTTTTGACAACCTGTATTGAATTTCGTCACACAAGCTTTCTAGCTGAACTAGAAAGAAGACAAAGCAAACACCAGGACAGTCTGAGACAACTCAGTGCAACAGCTGAGGTTTGTGTTTCAGAAAGACAAGTTTTAGTTTTTGTAGAGTTGCCCAGAAAGGTGATCACTGTACTTCAATGTAATGAAGAAGACGGAGTTGATGTTGATTGTATGGTAAAGTGTGATATATTTGAGGATGTTATTACTATATTGTCCTTTTGATGTGTTCTAGCTAAATGTGACACTTAGTGAAAACTTATTCCCTGTCATGCAGTGAGGTTTGATGTTGACAAGGCAGAATGGGTAAATACAGGCCAAACAGAATTTAACTGTAAACTTGAAGTTGATATAAGAGCATATGATGTTGAAAATTTAGTGATAAATGATGAGATTTGGTTAATTCAATGTCCCATTTCCGTATGTAATAACAAAACACAACATCCAATCATTGCTCGAACAAAGAAGACAGGTTAAAAAAGAGTTGAATAAAAATGATTTGATATCCTTGAAAACTCTCTATCTAAAAGGGAGTGGTGGATTTTTGAGTGATTAGATGAACACCACAGACTTTTGTCTTTCACTGCTTGCACTTTTTGTTGCTGTAAAATGAACTGTCTCACTTACCAATCCATTCGACCTTCAAACTTTTTTGTATGCACAGCAGAGTGGACTTGCGCTGGGATGATTTTTAGTAACTGTTTCATCATTGTGTTAAAGGTCTCCTATTATGGCATTTTTTATCAAGTTTAGATAAGTCCCAGAGGTCCCACAATAGTAAATTTGTTGTCTAAAACACCAGTTTATTTGTGGATATCAGCCAGCCTGTACCCCCTCTTTTTGAGCCTGATTGAGAAAGGGCTAATTCTGTGCCTGTACCTTTAAATGATAATAAGCTCTGTGTGACCGCGCTCTTCTTCCCCAAGGTCACTCAAGTTTATGGCTGTGTCTCATTTCAGAGACCACATCGGGATAAGCGCGCTTAGCTGAGCGCACTGCCGTTTTGTACCCTTCCTGTGTCCCATTTCAGAGACCGCAACCGTCGAACGGCGCATTTGAAGCGTGCGTGAGGTCATCACGCAGCACGAACGGTGTCCCATTTGGCACAAAATGCTAAGTGCGCTTCAAATTCGGTGTCAAAACCACACTGCCCCCCCCCCCCCTCTTTTTTTTCAAGCATGCATTTATGCACGCTTTCAGGCCGTTGGTATCCCAGAATTCTTTGCGTGCCGCTGCACAGCTGCACATTTCAGGTGAGAGGCTGGACTCGCTTGGAGATGCAGCGCATCTTCAAAGAAAATACAAGAAATCCAAAAACAGCAGACAGTCAGCTCAGGCTGTATGAGCGCATGACCTCTGAACTCATTAAAATCTGTAAACCAAACATTATAGATATAGAGACAAACTGAATTAAAATTAGGGCCATGAAGCATTTAAAGGAATTGTGCTTAAGTATAGGTTTCACAAACAAGGAGATACTTCATCCTTTGGCACATCAGCATCACATTGTCATAAGTATAAAAACTTAAATCTCTAAATCTTAAAAGAAAAAAAAAACCTCAATGTTGTCCTGATACTCTGCTGTAGTTTTGTCAGCTTTCTTATTTCTAATGTTTTTGATTGTTGTAGCAGAGCAGATCAGTTGTCTCTAAATCTATAATGTTTGGTTCGCAGATTTTAGTGAGTTCAGAGGTCATGCGCTCATACAGCCTGAGCTGACTGTCTGCTGTTTTTGGATTTCTTGTATTTTCTTTGAAGACGCGCTGCGTCTCCAAGCGAGTCCAGCCTCTCACCTGAAATGCGCAGCTGTGCAGCGGCACGCAAAGACTTCTGGGATACCAACAGCACAAAAGCGTGCATAAATGCACGCTTGAAAAATGCTAAGTGCGCATAGCATTTCTTAGCATTTCATGCCAAATGGGACACCGTTTGTGCCGCGTGATGACATCATGCACGCTTCAAATGCGCCGTTCGACGGTGCGGTCTCTGAAATGTGACACAGCCTATGTATCAGCTGATTGACCTTGATTTATGTTGTCTCAATACTATACACATAATTTTAAATAATCATAATACAATACAGGCCATACTTTTTTTAGATTTACAAAGACCAAAATTTTAGATGGAACAAGGCTTGGACTCAACTTAACCCACTCTAATATCATCTAAATCTTCCATGAGCATAGCATTTGCAACATTTATCAAGTTACAGTGGAGAGGAAGAACTTCCTTGTAACAGGCAGAAACCTGAAGCAGAACCAGACTCATGTAAGAGTCATCTGCTGGGACTGAGCTGGGTTTAGAGAGGGGAGAGAGGAAGATGGCGAGAGAGGAAGTGACAAGCAACAGTAGAACACACATATGTCTGGCAACAGTGATAGAGACAATGGAAAAAGTGTCTGTACTATCTACAGGAATAGTATGATAATGATAATAGACTGATCTTGGCCACCTTTTCGGGGGGTTTCTGGAGGCAAGGGCAGGGCTTGATGTTTTAGCCCCATCCCATCCAACCAGTAGTGCAACAAAGCAGTGTTACCCTGCTCCACTGTGGGTGTCACTTCACAAGCTGTTGGAGATGGGCCATCCTGCTTAGGTGAACTTGTAAGGAGAGCCTGTTATGCTGATGCAGGCTGTGAGTCTTTCACAGTCCTTCACAAGGTCCCGTTTTGAGCAATCTACATCGTTGTTTGTAACAACATATGTTTACATATGATTTGAAACTTTGCATACATCTAGTATGGACACTGAACATTGTAATTTTGCAGTTTTTGTTGTAAATACGGGAAAACAAATACTCCCCCTTTAAAGTCAACAGGTCTGTAGTAATTGCAAAGCATTCATGGTAATGAATTTGAGGAAAATAATGGGGGTTGGAATTAGATCAGCTGAAGCAGAAAGGGTATTAAAAAATCTGCAGTTAACATATAAATTATACCAATGATAATAGAGGGACTGATGCTAATAAATTACCATTGATTTTATAACGGATTAAAATGGATAGACTGCAGTATGCCATCAGTAGTTTTGCTGCTTTAGCCAAGTTTGAATGGTACTGTTTATTTCAGTGTCTTTATAGAAATGCAACTAAATCTACAGGTAATATTTAGAGAGAATTTTAGAGTAATAAATGAAATGTCTTTTTCAGCCAAATGTTAATGATTGACATCCCTCTGCATTTAGCTACTGCAGAACTCTGGTGTAGACTGTCTTGAAGTTTGGGATCATGTCATGCTGAAAAACAAAAGTGAAAACAAAAAAGAAATGCTGCAATGAATCCACACCTGTCCACTATCCAGCATTTTTTAATTCGGACTGTACTGAAACACCTCTGCCAGAAAACCACAAGACCTTCAGTTCTGTGCCACCAAAGACTGCAAGCGCTTGTCTAATGTCTACCATCTCTCTTCAACTCTTAATGTTGATGAGTGGACTGACACTTTTACCAGATCTTAAAGGTTTTCTTGGCCTTCTTCAGGTTATTTGCCCTCACTGGGTTTTTTAAATGTCTTCATGACTGCTTAAATACCACATCTTCTGTCAGAATGGAATCTTGAATACCACATCTTGTGTAATAAGTTGATTTGTAGATTCAAAAGTGGCTTTACTAATTAAAAATGGGATTGTATGTCTGTCAAATTAATAGTTGGTCTCACTTTAGTTATGTCTCCAGTATAAGATCAACTTCTACAAGATGTGGATGAAATGCTTGTAATACAAGTAACCAAGTATAGTTTGACCAATCAGAGAAATTGCAAAAAAAAACAGTCATGGCCTTGCTTAAAAAAACTCTCCAGCTTTAATGGTGGCCTAAGATCTCTGCATAGTACTGTTTATTTCCAAAATCATGTTACAGTCTTATAATTGTCATATCTTTTCAGGATGCTCCTGTGCAGACGCAGGTCCGACAGGCCCTGGCAAGGCCTCGCACGGCCCATGCATTGCGCCCTTCTGCTGGCAGCTCCCAGCGGATAGTTGGAGACCTTCGAAGCACCAAGTGGAGCACTCGGAGGGAGGAACGTTACAGGATATTATCCAGCCATCGCACAGGGCTGTCGAGCCCAGTTGAGCAGCAACCCCTCCAGTCAGATACTCCTGAGAGCATGATTGAGGTGGGGAAAGAGCATCAGAAATGTTTGGGCCTTGGTGAAATCCAAGTGGTTGATCTCATACATGAGGATGTCGAGGAACAGGACAAGTCTTTAGGCAAGGTGAGAGGAACATCTGTTCAGCACATCAGAGATGAGTAATGCCTCAGATGAATGCATCTGTACCAGATAGACAAATCTGACTGACACTTTGGCCAAAAGCACCTGAAAAATTTTGTTACTTTTGAGAAAGGGGAAAAATAAAATGCCCTGTATAGATAAAAGTGAAAACAGCTGAATTCATGCTGAAAAAAAGCTGCAAATTCATCCTGTTATCTTATGTTGTTGGCTCTACTCCCAGGGATGGGACGTCCCAGTCCCCATCTCAGCTAGCACATCAGAGCATTTTGTAAGTGATCAGGGATCATCATCATCACAAATAATGCTCAATATTTGACAGCTGACATAAATGAAAACGGTTAAGCCAGAACACGTGCAAGTAGCTGAACATGGCTAAAATAACAGTGTGGAGATGTTTTACACTAAAAGGCAAATAACTTTAGTGGTAATGATCAGTTGTCTCACGAATCTCTGTTTTTAACGTTGTTTTTTTCTTTTATAAAGACGGTGTCCTCAGATCCAGAAGTGATCCTGTGTAACAACACCAAGATGCTGCGGGAGCGTCTGAGCGTATCTGGTGAGAGACTCGGAGAGGAGCACAGAGAGCAGGATGCCGACTACGTCTATGACCTTTACTACCAGGAGACAGTCACACCAGGCTGGATTCAGGACATCCTGTCTGTCAGAGCCTACGCCGATGAGGGAGAACTGGTGTGTGTGGATGGATGGACGGACAGATGAATGAGTGCTAAAACTCTGAGTGAGTGAATGAAGACATGGGTGACATAGAGAGGCAAACACATTCTTGTAGAAGAGTTTTTATTATGTAAACTCGTGACCTAACTTGTCCACGTCCTGAGGGAGTTCATAACACCATTTGGTGTTAAGGTGTTGATGTATTAAGATACCCAAAATATGAATAAAGTACTTGACTTAACAGTAGGGATGCACAGTCAGGACCAGAATAACAAGCACAATTATTTTGGCTAATGTTGAATGTACATGGATAAATCAAGGGGCAAGTTTCATTTGTACTTACCCATTTCAAAGTAGTGCTTCTACTTCATGTTGTTTTACATAACTAAAGAGCAAACAAAAGTAAAATTGTGTGAAAAGCCTTTTCTCACAAAACTGAATCAGCAGCTGCTTCAATAAAGCCATATTCACATAAGTTCTAAATTCCTTAAAGTCAGAGTCTGTTGGCCTGGCTGGGCCATCCTGTTGCGTGAATCACTTGCCGTTCCTTCCCACAACAGTCTGGACTTCGGCCCATTGGGAGCGTGTTTTCCCGATCAGAAAATAACCGGGCCAATCAGAGACCGTGTTTCCACTGTTACCCGGACAACAGGGAGAATCTGACGTCTTCTGCGGATATAAACGATTTCTGCCAACTTCGCAGAGTCAACTGCAGAATTAACGGCGTTCTGAATGAACGGTGCTTTGAAAAGTCCCGCAGCATGTGTTAGACGTCACCATCTACACATGGACCAATCAGGGGCTGCCTTTCCCTGTTGTCCGGGTAACAGTGGAAACACGGCCTCTGATTGGCCCGGTTTTTTTATGATCGGGAATACCGTTCCCAATGGACCGAAGTCCAGACTGCTGTGGGAAGGAACTGTAGGAAGTGATTCACGCAACAGGATGGCCCAGCCAGGCTAAGAGTCTGTATGTTTGTACATGTAAGTCCCGCAGTGATTTAAGCTCAAATAGCCCACTAACTGGACTGCTTTCATTACACGAGTTTACAAGCACCAGGCAAGAATTGAGTTATTGGCAGAAAATGTCAGCCTCTGCTATATTAGGTGGTCACATGCCTCTTTTCCACTTTCCCTGACCTTTTGGCAAGTGGCTAACAGTGAACACACTATTCTTTTGACAGTTCTTTTCACAGTTCAGTTATTTGCCATCTGGCAATGTGTTTGTTACTCAATTACCAAGTCAAAGGATGGTATACAAACTGAAGCATACTTGTTTTAGTCTCTTTACATGGAAGAGAATGAATCACCATCTTTTTTATCTGGACATGTTACTCAGACTGTGGGAAGTTGATTTTGTGAAATTGAAGTCAGACTGATAATTTTACAGAGCAGGAAATATTCAGGTAAATTCTCCCTGAGTAATCGAGCAGGAAGGGTGATGTTAATATTGTGCAACTGCTGCAAACGAATGAATAAAAACAGAAAAGGTTGAAGGTGTACAGTGAAGATGTCATAGCTTCAATATAAATACAGAAACTGTCACCACTGTTATGTATATTTGACTTGATGCTGGAGAGAGACACAAGTAACCAAGATTAGTGCTTCTTACATTTATACACCTATCACGTTTCATTTTGTGGTGTTATTTCAGGTAGTTTAAAAAGTTACTGGTGTTGTTTTGCACCGACAAATCTCATCCGCTCTTTTTCCCCTAACCACCAACATGAGTTATGTTGAGGAACCAGCTTTTTGTCTAATCTTTTCTAAATGACACATTTCTTGCTCCACGCTGGTCTCTGTTGTTAACTCTCTAGAGTGTCAGTGTGAGGCAGACAGTCATTGTTTCTCATATTCCATGAAAAGTGGCACCTAAAACTTCCATTCCCCCTTGAGGAGTTTTTGGTTTAGGGGGCACATAATTTTGTATGCAGCAGAGTCTTTTTAAAAGTAGAGCACACATTTAAAGCATAAGTGCCCCTGTGAAGGCCGAGAACATGATGGAGATTAGTTTGCTGCCCTACCAAATGGTGTCTGGGGTTTCTAGTATTCCAAATATTTCAAAAAGATTTGCCTTAAGTGTTTCTCAAGTTTATGGCCTAAACTAAAAGGCCATTATTTCTCTACACATTTCCTAAGAATGCTATAACATTAGCTTGGAACAAGGCTTTCAGATAAAGAGTTTCTTGTTTTTATGTAAGGTGCCTGACCTTGTGGTTCATGAAGAGGAGGTGTATGAAGACGAGGATGATGAAAATGAGGAAGGGAACTGGAGGAATGACTACCCAGATGAAGAGAGCGATGCAGAGAGTGACAGAGAGGAGCGCTATGGAGGTATGTATTTTGGTGTCCAGGTGCCAGTTAATGAAGTTTGTCTTGTGGAGTTGCTACAATTGTTGACGTTTCACTCTTGCTATATGAGGGCTTAAAATCCTGGAATCAATAAAAATTTTGAGCTTCATGTTTAGGGCTGATATCAAATTGAATAAATTAAGCAGTGGCAGTAGCTGGATATGATATTTGTACAGCATTTTGCAACAGCAAACGGGGTGACCGTTTTTGTCAATGACTAGGCTAAGAGGGTTGTGATTTTGAACAGAACCAGAGGGTTAAATAATTGCGTGTGCACATCCAATGAAGCTAGTATTTGTGTGCATGTACACTACAGGCCGAAAGTTTGGAAGCAAGATCAGATTTGCACAAAAAAAGATCATCATTTCATATATATATAATTTGCAACACAATAAACATGACTATTGTGTAAAGAGTAACTTATCAGAACACATTTTGGCTATAACTATTAGGTATTTGAGTTATTGTTGCTTAGACTTTGCTTTCTTTAAAGTATCTTCCTCTGGCTTTAACAACAGCTTGGCATATACCAGGCATTCGTTCCACAAGTTTTTTAAGGTATCTTCCAGGAATTGCATTCCAAGCTTTCTTAAGTTCATTAAAAAGAGACTGCTGACTCGTGGGATGCGTTTTTCTGACCGATCGATCCAATTCATCCTGCACAAGCTCAATTGGAGAAAGGTCCGGAGACTGAGGGGGCCAAACCATCTTTTGAGGAACACCTTCCTCTTCTTTTTTGTCTAGGTAACCCTGACAGAGCTTGGCAGAGTGCTTAGGGTCATTGTCTTGCTGCAAAACAAACTTATGAGCCACAAGTCGTAGTCCAGATGGAGCAGCATGGTGCTGGAGGATGGAGTGGTACTGTCCCTTCTTCATGATACCCTTTACTTCAAACAAATCTCCTACTCCATCACCTGCAAAACATTCCCATACCATGGAACTACCACCTCCTTGCTTAATTGTGGGTGTAACACATGGTGCTTTCAGACGTACACCAGATTGTCTGCGGACATAGACTCTGCGTTTTGAACCAAACAGTGCAAACTTGTTTCTAGTCATCATAAGTCCAATTTAACTCAGAAGTAGCTCAATTAACCATTAACTTGGTGTGACCGAGACGAGCCACCACCATTTCATCCTGTGATATGACTTTTGCACATGTTGCAGTTGCAATGTTTAAATGCTTTGTTGTTCACTAGGACAAGTTAGGACTCGGACTAGCCCACTACAAGACCTAATCTTTGTTGAAGAAGTCAGTATCTAAGGCATGTGCGTGTGTGTGTGTGTGTGTGTGTGTGTGTCTGTCTGTTTGAGTGTGTGTCTGAAAGACAACATTGACCGTTTCTTATTATCTTTTGTGCAGGTTACTGGGAGGAGGAGCACTCGTACAGCCGGAGGAGCTGGGGGCACTACCAGAGGGAAGTGCTGAATGAGCTGGGCTGCAGGGATGCTGCTGTTGATGAGGATGATGAGGATGATGAAGATAAATATGATTCAGATTGAGATGTCTACTAAGCTTCACCTGGTTGAGGATCCTTCCCAGTACCCTTTTTACCAACTACATAAATCTCCTTAGATCGCTGTGTTGGTGAGACTAAAGAGGAAACAACCATACTAGACACACAACTTAAAAATGCACTCCATCAATGTGTAGCACTTCAAAGGTTTTTTAAATGTTACCAAAACAGAAAGAGATTAGTTTTGCCAGAATTCATCATTACTCTTGTCTGCAGCCTGGGAGGCTGTAAGCTGAGTGGCTACATTTTTTATTTTCATCTATTTCCCCCTCGTTGTCAGTATATTTGTAGGTTTTGGGTCTTATCTATCATTTTTTTACAAAATTCCCAGCATACACTGATGCTGCTGAGCAAATTAAGAAAAGGGCTGTGAGCCAAGCTGCCCATTGCTTTAGCCCAAAAGCTTGCTGAAATCCTCTTTCAAGTTTAGTCATCTAGCTAAATACAGTTTTCATGATAATTGAAAGCCCTAGAAATGGGTGAGAATATCAAATGTCCTTTCTATGACCAGTGCTTAGGGAAAACTGTATCCAAGGTGGACAACGAGAGAGAATTAGTCAATGCCATTCAGTGAGCAGCCCCATTCTACTCTAGATTATGAGTTTTGGACTACCCAAACTCTGTGTACTGAAAGGTTTATTGCCAGTAAATAAAAACAGCTGAGGTCACAAGACCTTTACACCCATAGTGGTCCAAAAATTCTGTATTAAGTTATTCCCTCTCTCCTGCACAGAGTAAAGGAGTTTGTGTCCCTCCTCATTTGGGTCCAGAGTGTCTTTTTTTTTTTTTTTTTTTTTTTTTTTTTTAAACTGTGGTGGAGTGAATTTGTGTGTGTGGGTGTTGTGTTCCAAGTGAATGTGTGTTAGAAATGTTGCATATTAGTGTTAAATGCCTGGTATGCTTTGTGCTGTTAACACTTATGTTAGTGAGGCGTCTTGAGCTGAGTGTGTACGCATTTCAGGGTGTTTGCATTTTGTGCATGGTAGTGTGTGTAGGTATAATGGTGTATGCTAAGGTTTTTTGCATAATGTGAGTGTGCTGCAAAAGTTTTGTTGTATGTGTGGTTCAGAAGTTACTCTTGGATTGTTGCTCTTGGATGCTGATTGAAAGGTTTTTTTTTTCTGTAAATATGTAGATGTGTATAAAAAGAAAGCTTTCAAAATAAACTTCAAACATCTGTGTTAATTTGTCTTGATTGATGATTCACGATCCACACAAAGGTATGTTTGCGCACAAAAAAAATCCCCCATCATTAAGATCCAAAGAAAAAGCAGTGTACTGATCTGAACCAAAGCTTTGTATCAAAGCTACATTAGCAAAGGAAACAGCAGAAAACAGACTTCTTGCTTCACGCAAAGAATAGATGCAGTCAGTAATAGGGACAAGCCTGAAAAAGACATGCTCATCCATGTCCAAGTAAAAAAACGATATTCAAGCCAATACTTATAGTTTTGCAGCAATATCCAGTTTGGTCTTGTTTTGGCCCCTATTGTGAAGATGGGCTGTCAGTATCTCTCAATTTCTACTGCACATAGCTTGCACTCTCATCCTGATTGGTGTGTAAATCTTTTTACATGAAAATGAGACACTAAGGAGACGTGGTTACTGCTTATTGTGAAGCTGATTCTTGACAAGATATAAATGTCATTTTGAATTACAAAGCTTTCTGTCTGAGGCAACATTTTCAAATAATCTGTCGTGATAAATGTGAAGAAGTGTGTATATGCACAGAGTCATCCAGTTCCTGTCTTTTACCATTAAATGTCAGAGCAGCCTAATTCCAACAGACTTTAACGGATAATTTTTTAGGTCATCACTCATCTCGACATAACAAAGATCGTTTTTTCATGATAACAAATTAATTAACGAACTGCTGTTGTCCGATTCGTGCATGGCAGTAAAATGTTCCCACGTTGAAAGTATAATGCGCATGCGTAAACTAGAGTGTGTCATTAGTGTTTTTATAAAAAAAACTCCATCAGCTCAAACGCTATTTCCATTATCACAAGAAAACAATCTTTGTTATGTCGAGATAATGAAGGAAAAAAATCGGGATCATGAGATCACTTTCTTTTGTCAAGCTAGCGAGATAAGTCACTATCAGGAGATAACAGTGCATAAAAAATGGAAAAATTCCATGGCCGTTCTTGTCTTCTGTACACTCCAGCAGTAGCCCCCGGGGCCCTTTAGAAATCTACCAAAAGGAATTCTGTAGTTATAGGTACTGCAACATAGTTAACACCAGCCCTAAGCAAATGGTAAAAATTTTACTCTGGCTGTGTCTCATTTCAGAGACCACATCAGGCTGAGCGCGCTGGACTGGGGTACCCTGAGTGAGATGGTCAGGTTTTTGTGAAATGGGACAGACTACCCTTCGGAGGACTTCCTGGTTGAGTCGCCAATGCCCCCGCCCTCAGGCTTGCGTCCAACTGACTTGATAAAAAGCTGCGCAGCACAGCAGCTATTTTTTTAATTGTGTGACCTTGCACAGACACAACACCAGTCAACATCTCCAGGTCCAGGTCAGTATGCAGAATGTACTGATTGAGTAGGTAAGTAGACAGTAGGCAGTATGCCATTTCGGACACAGCCACAGCCTCTGTGTGTAGCAGTTGGTACCAGGGTCTGAAGAGCAGTGAGGTTCATTTTCATAGATGAAGGCCAATTTACCAAAAATAATACATAGTTCTTATGAAACTTTATGACTCTTGTAAAAATAATTATTTAAAAAAGAAAAAAAAAAACAACCATTATTTGTATAGCACCTTTAAAAACATGGGCTTACAAAGTGCTTTGACATACAAGCATGAATCTGCAAAACAGCAAAGCAAGAGCAATAGAAGAAATTCAGGAGAAAGAAAAACAAAATTAAAAAACTCAACATTGAAATCCACAAAGTAACCTCAACAAACAGACCCACCAACTGAACAAGCTAAATGGACAATGACACAACACACTGACCCAATATTAAACCAGAAACATAACCTTAGTGTTTGTAACAGTTTAAACTTAAACATCAGCATGGGGAAAACTAACTTTAATGTTTGAGAAACATTTATTTCATGTTGATTATCTTTAATTCATGTTCTAGTTAATTGCTGTAAGGGAGGGAGTAGGTTTCAGGACCCATACTGCAGACAGTCACTAGGGGGAGCTCCAAATGTTAAGGTCTTCTCAGGGTGGCTTTTCTCCCAGTAATGTAATTAAATCTGGGATGGTTTGTGGTGCACTTAATCCTTTTCATAGACTTATGGGGGAAAAGCTTTGAGCCCTTTGTGTAAATCAAGCCCTGGGTGCTCTTTATGGCCAAAGCTACGAGTCTAACCAGATTAATTTCCTCAAGCAATGCAATGTTTTTTTGGGCCAGAGCGGTGACCGAAGATGTTTCAATCTTTGAATTTGGCTCATCTAGAAAATGAAATGCATGAATTTTTTTGATTCAGGCGTAAAATCCTATAATCATTATAACATATGCATGTCAGGAAAGTGTCAATTGAAATTTAATATTTTTTTTTCCAACAGACAAGCAAGATACATGAAACTGTATGTAAACTTTAGGTGCTTTTCAACTTCCAACATTTTGCCATTATTGTGCTTTTGTGTGATAGGTTGTTGATATTCAACAAACTGTCAGAATATGGTCAACTTCTCTTTTGTTGACAATCAACTACTCTAAATTAATCTGTATGTTGGAACCACCGACAGACTCAGTCCACAATCTTGACTCAGTATTTGCAGACAAGAGTTAGGACTCCCCAGTTAAGGTGAAAACGAGTTGACAAGAGTACAAAGTCTATAAACTATCAGCAGACTATTTGCAGACATGTGTCACTAAATATTTGTAGACATGTGTTAAGACTATCCAATTAAAGAGAAAACTGTTGACAACAGTACAACACACTATTGACATGCAACTAAATATGCTCTGTGGCATGTAGAGTGTCGACAGGTGGACCCTCCAAATAAAGAGTTATTAATACATCTATATTTATTGCTGAAGGCCTCATTATTGTAGGTGTTTCACAGTCTACAAAGACGTGGCAAAGCAGTATTATACAGTCTCTGAGTTCAATCCAGTCCCAAAAAAGTTCACAAAACACCAAACAAATCCATAAACCCATCCACAAGAAATTTCAGGCAAAGTTACTGTCAGTGATAGGTAGATATAGGTAGGTAGATATCCTGAGGGAAATTTAGTTTCTCAGCTGAACCATCAATCATCAACAAATCAATTCATAAAATGGAGTGCATGGAGTATAGAAAAATCATTAAAATACACTGCTATTAGACAACACACAGAAAAAGGACACATCATGAATTTACATTTTTTACTCCCATCTTTTCAACAAACATCAGGACAGACCTCCAGGTTTCATGAAATTCCAGGTCAGACCCTTTATGAGGGTATCTCCAGTTTGATGTATTGCATAATCTCTTTAATCCAGTAAAGAGGTTTAGGGGGGGGAGAGGGTTTCTCCACTTAAACAGTATGAGGTGTATGGCCAACAAGGTGCAGAAAGCCAGCATATTACATTTCCATTTTTGAAGATGCGTATTCTGTGACGTGATCCTGAACAAGGCAGTGAGAGGGGCTGGATCTGTAGGCACCTCTATTATTTCAGAGAGAGAATCAAAAATGGACTCCTAAGTACTGTGGCGTTGGACAGGTCCAGAATATACAGTACGAAATAAGCTTTCACAGCAATCTAATTCTATACAGCACTATCTTGGGCCAGTGAAGCCTGTTGAACATTACTTGTCCCTAATTTATTTTCAACTACAAAGACTCATTTTTTTGTATTCACCATATTGTCCATGTTTAAGTAAGTAATCATGTTTGAGATTATATTCCTTTAAAACTACAACCTTCTCTTTGTAGATCAGTCAGGCAGTATTTCATCCAAACTCTTAAAAATTTCCTGTGATTCACATTCTCTTAACCACAAAACAACAACCTGATCTCAAAATCCCTAAGAACCTGCCGGGAAATGTCAGCCCCTTTAGCCTTTGACCTCTGCTTTTATGGAATTCCATTTTATTTTTATCTTATATCACAGGATATTTTAATGGACAAGATGTGAAATATATTAACATCTCAGCTTTTTGCTCAATCTTTTCAAGTCCTGATACTCATAACAACGCGGAGCTGAGGATACAAAACATGAGAGACACTTGAACTAGACAATTCACATTCTTCTTTTTGGTACAGAAGCCTGGCTGCTCACTGTCTCCAAAAACTATCACTTTATCAACACTTTATTCTTTTAATACTGACTTTACTTTAATATTAACATTAATAATAAATTGTCACATTCCAGCTTCATTTACTCTTGACTTCATTTTCTTCATATATCTGCTTTAAAGCACACCTGAAAGCATTTTATAGATGGACTTAACACAGAAGAACTTGACAAAAACTCAGTTTCTTACTTAATTTATTTCTTATTTCTTTGCAAGTCTTGCAAAATTAAGATTTCATTGTCTGCTTACATTTTTTCCCCAATAAATACTCAACTCTTTAATAAAAGTATCTTGACATGAGACAAAGAACAGAAGATGTTCAAAACATTGGGTACTGATCTAGTGCTACAAATGATACCTTTGTGTCTATTTTGACCTGAGTTTGAACATCTCTTGGTGTCCTAAATACAGCACTTTGTGGAAACTGAAAAAAGCCATTTGGTGCCACATAGCTCAAAGCAAACAAACAACCTCAGATAGTGTTATACCCGCTTTGGCTGAAGTGCTTTGGACATTTACAGAAGTTGTTAAAAAATACTAGATGGAGAAAAGTTATGAATTTAAATATTTAGAAAGTAACAAGGACACTTGAGAAGAAAAAAAAAGGCAAACAATGACATTTAACTTGACAAACATTAAAGGAACAAAACCATCAGGATGATCTGTCGTCATACAGCAGCAGACAAAATCAATGAATTCCTTTTTTCACCCAGAATTGAGGTTGCACTGAAGGGATTTCAGACCCACTACACACATACTGCACAGACCTTCAGTCTGTTTAAACTGCTTAAATTTCGAGTAAACTGTGTTGCATTGATATCAGGTTGATTTGGTTGTGTAAGCATCTGTAAAATCTCACAGCCACATTTTAGTTACAATATATATATATATATATATATATGTACACATATATATATATATACAATGAAGTGTTAAACAAAAGGCAATTTCTTCTTATTTAAGGTCATTCAATAGTGTGATTAAGTCATTAAACTGTATACAATGTGTCTGCAGCTGAACGTCTGGGATTAGATCAGTAAGTGACTCTATGCATCATGAGGCAGCATTTCAGTGTTGTAAACAAGTCAGTTCCAGTACAAAAGACTCTAATAATAATTCCTCATCGGTTCCCTTTGGGACTGCCTGCAGGTAGGAAGCAGAGACTTCTGGGTAAAGTTCGTGAGTGTAAAGAGTTTTATTCACTTTTGTCCAACTCAGTGAGTACACAGAAGCAGGTGAGCTGAGTGAAGTGGGTCAGAGAACCTGCAAAAAGCCACATGTTAATTCACACAGTTCAAAACAATGCACGCCCCTGAGGCCAGAAGATGCTGTGTGCGCAGTAAACTTACGCAGCAGTTTGGTGATGATGGGCGGTCGTTTGGACTCCGGCAGATGAACACCCAGGAAGTAGACAGGAACTCCTGACAGAGCGATACCGATGCCGATCAGGGAGTTGATGGTGTCACTGTAGAGGGGGACGGCCACCAGGAATATTGTGCACAGACAGAAGATCACAGGGTACGCCAGTGTAAGCTGCAAGGAAAGAAATCAGGAAAGACACTTTTCTGGTCAGATTAATATGAGGAAATTCTGAATTTTTTTTTTTTTTTTTTTTAAATTCTCCGGATAATACCTGTATTAACCTGTATGTATTCTTTTAACCTCTTCAGCATTAAGTTGAGTAACATTTTAACATGCTCATCTGTTCATAATACAGAGCTCATCTACCACTGCTCAGCACAGGAATATAAAAATCATTTAGATATTTAAATTGTGCAGATAAATTGGTGTTGACTGAGAAAGGGGACAGAAAGTTGAAAAAAAAGGATGCTTGAATGGATGCTTGAGGTTAAACACTGTGTGCTTAATCTAGTCTCGCCTTGAGTGGTCTGGGTCTGTCCGGCTCCTTCCAGCGAAGATAGATCTGCCCGGCGATGGACAGGCCCATAAAGAACCAGTAACTAAAGCTGTAGTAGTTGATAAGCTGGAAGACGTCCTCCACTATGAGGTAGATCAGTGACATCACACACTGGAGAGGCATCCGCAGAGAGGACAGGAAAAAGTTAAAACACAGTCAAAGATTTCTATGAATGTTGGGAGATTGTTTTTTAATAACAGCTAAATTCTCAATACTTTTTAAATGTCAAATTATTGCTAAATAAGGAGGCAGAACATCACAGACACTGTCACTACAATGAAGTGAAAGTTTCCTGAACTTTGTCTGCTATAATTCACATTTCAGCTCTAGTGTGGAAGTCCCTCAGAGCTACACGGATAGAAGAAAACAAAGAGACGAAGAAAGAGGGGGAACGGGGTGGAAACAGGAGGACAACAGCAAGAGTAAAAGAAAAGAGACGGTTGGTTTGGAATTTATAAGAACAAAGGAGGAGACATGGTCAAGATGTCATCCTGCTTCTCTAACCTTCCTCTGCATCTAGTATAATTTATCATTATACATACATTAAAGATTAGAGCAGGGATGGGAGTGAATCTCTGTATGTGGATCATGGACAGAGCGTCTGGAAGGTGACCCTCACGAGAACCAACAAAGAACAACCTAGATGACAAAAATGAAGTTAGATGTAGAACTAAACATCTTCAGAATTTATGAAAATTATACAAATAGCTCATGTTTTCCAGTGCTGCTCTGACCTGTGTTTGCATATACATATGTACACTTTACCTGGATGCAGCTATAATGGAGGCGTTGAGGCCACCATAGCAGGACAGAGCCACAGCAATGGGAATGATCCAGCTCATCACACCAAGAGTGTGATCTGCAAAAGTCTGACACAAACACAGTTTGCTTTAGCAGCTGTTTTCCCTTCTCACACATTCATTTTACATCTATTTTACTTACCACTGCCACTGCATCACTGGCCACTATAGCACTGACATCTAGGACAGCGTAGTAGGCCACATTGGTGAGGATGTAGATGATGGTGACGATGGGCATAGAGATGCCAATGGCCAGCGGTAGATTCCTGAAGCAACAACAACACCTGGTTCAAATATTCTGACCTGTTTCTGCCCAACACTTAGGGCTCTATTTTCGTGTCCGCCGGTGAGGCAGCAAAGGGTGGAGGACCCAGCGCAGTGGTATTTTTGTCTGGTGGAGCCCGGCGTACAGCCAGGTTGGTATTGTTGTGGACTGAGGCGCACCGAGGTCCGCCAAGCTGGGCGTGGTGGCGCGGCAGGGGGAGGTGTCGACAGAATCAGCTGCCGCAGTGACATTTTCGTGCTCGCCGGTGGCGTATAAAGTGCACTGAAAGCTCGCCGATTCAAACCTGGTCAGCTTTCAGCGCAGGCGGAGCGCAGCTGGTCTAGTGATATTTTGGTAGACCTGCGGCGTATCAGCATACGTCACCGATGCCTCACCAGCAGGTTTCCACAGTGTCAGGCACATTTCAGTGCAATAAATAATCAACAACAACTATTAATCTGAGTCAGCACATACATTTAGATCTATACAGATATATTCTGTTCTATATCTTATCTGATGAGCGCGTTTGGCACGTGTTTGGACACACAACCTGACCGCTGAAACCGCATTAATTAAATTAAATTTCTAGTAAATAGACACACGATGAAGTTAACAAAATATGTAATTCGTCTCCCTCCCCTTTCTTTCTTCCTCTTATTTCTCGTGCAGCTCGACCTGGACATGTCTCCGTGTCCTCTCCCCACCCTGCTGCAGCTGCTGCTGCGGCAGCTGAACAGATGATTTGTTTTGGTGATCAGATGAGTTATTTACTTTAAGCCTACATACGAATATTATAATGTTCAGTTTAGTGAGCCAAATTTATTTTATATGCCAACATCTATGAAAGAAAGAGCCAGGCCACGGAGCACGATGCGTCATTTACGCACAGATGGTTCCGATTTTAATGCCATTATTGGAGTTTATGTTGTGATCTGTGCGCTCAACCCACCTTTGTCACGTGAGGTTTGAATATATGCAACTTAATGTGAGTGTCTTTATTTGTGGAAAAGGGTGTTTGTCTTACCAGTGGGTCCAAACTTACACACACCAAATCCATCTGTGCTGATATGAAAGAGTGTGGCGGACGCCCTCTGCAGCGCTTACAGTGACACTTGTTGAGGGGCTGCCTTCTGTCGCCATCGTGTGGCATTGCTACTTCACTAAAATTGTAAAAAATTGTAAAATTGTAAGGTGAGGAGAGGAGCTGATGTTATTGGTCAATACAGGTCTCGGCTGTGTTAAACTCACTCCACGCCCTCTCTCCTCCCTCGCTACGGCTTACGCCGCTGGGAGGAGCCAAGTTAGGGAGGGGGGATACTTACGCTGGGCTGCGCCGCTCACCAAAATACCAAATTGTGCTTGGGAACGCCTTGTCGACGCGGCGGACCTGACTTACGCCGCACCTGCGGCACGTCTCCGGCGAGGCACGAATATAGAGCCCTTAGTGTTCAACACAGACAGAGGATTAATGCACCTTTCAGGGTTCCTGATCTCCTCTGTGACAAAGTTGAGAGTGTCCCAACCAGAGTAGGAGAAGAGAGCAGAGTAAAGTGCCAGAGCAATGTCGCCAGGATCTGTCGATGATCCCTGAAAAGATGATTCAAAGTTGGTAGTGTAACCTGAAAGAGGGAGGGCAAACAACCCGAGAAACAAACTTTTTATGAGGCAGTTTTCATCCATGGTGTTTCAACAAAGGAAAACAACACAACCAAAATGAGCTCAGAGTGTTTTTTTATACGAGCATGAACCATAAATACAGCCTGTATCAGCAAAAAGTTGGACAAATGAACACTGATTATGGGACAAGCGCTTGGCTAGGGTTAGGACTGAACCATGGAGCAGCAGAATAAACCTCAGCCCAGTCCACATTTTTTATGTAAAAATGAAATAAAAAGTGAGAATTTAAGTGACAGTACTCACCCTGGCACAGCTTGATGATACCAGTTATGATGATGACAATTAGGGCCGCCACCTTGGCATAGGTGAATATGTCCTGAACTCGGGTGCCCCACTTTACATAGGCAGAGTTGATAAATGTTAGTAAGCCTGTCAATAGAGAGAGCAGTTTCAGAATTGAATGAGAGAATAACATTTTCATATAGTGTACAGTGGATCGGTGTCTGTTACATATGCCTCATGCTACAGTGAAGGTTGAAAATATTGAAGAATATGAAGTTGTTGCTTACTCTCCTGGACAAACTAAGCAATTACACAATTTCTTAATAACCCCAAGTACTTTTTCTGCTCTAATAACATTAGATGGAAAATAAACATCAAGCTGAAATATCACTCAGACTCTTGCACTTACATATACAGGCTGCAGCAATAAGCCGGGCTGCTGCATATGGAGGTTCACATGTCGGGAAGAGTGGCTGCACCAGGTAGTTTGCGAATGTGATGGCAATGACTGCCTGACTGGTGGGCTCGATGATCAACAAAGATGTCCACAAACGAATGAATGCAATGAAGCCACCGAATGATTCCAGGATGTATGCATAAGATGCCCCTGATTTAGTGATGGTTGTGCCCAGCTCAGCGTAGCAGAGGGCCCCTACTACTGAAAACAGGCCCCCGATTGCCCATATCACGAGCGACAGCCCATAGGAGGCACTGTAGATCAGGACACCTTTGGGGGAAACAAAGATACCAGAGCCAATCATGTTTCCAACAATCAGGCTGACTCCATTGAGCAGCGAGATCTCCTTCTTGAGCTGCATGCTCTCTTTGGGTGGCTGTGGCGAGTGTCCAGCGCTGCCGTTCATCTTCTTGGAGTCTTCATGGTCAGCCATGGTGGTCATCTGAGGGTTGGACCAGGAGGAACTAGGATAGGCTGAGGACACTACAGGCCCCAGTCCCTCTCTGGTGACAACCTGTTGAAATGATTCAGATGTCATCATTGATGAAGCAAAAAGAAACTCAGTGCCGGATAGCAGCTTAGCAGAGGCAGTTTTTTTCTTTTCTTTTTTTTAAATCAATAAACTTATTATTATGTCTGAATTATGAATGGTTATAGATACATCTTTGATGGACTTAAAGAATGAATCAATCATAAAAAACACCCTCTAAATAATAGCTCTCTTGTTCTAAACTTTCCTTACAATATGAACATTGTTTGTAAGAATAATGAGAGGTAAGTTGAAATTAGTGATTGATACCATAAATTCACTCACAAATGCTCCGTTTGGGGAATAAATTAAGTACCACAAAGTCCTATCATCTATTTGACCCCTTTTTGCAAAGAACAGTGTTGCCCACTAGTGGTCATTAGTGAGAATACAGGTTTTTGACACACATCAACCTCTTTGAACAGGGGTGGGCAATCATGTGCCATGGAGGGCCGAGAGGCTGCAGGTTTTCTTTCCAACCCAAAACTCCACCAGGTGATTCCACTGATTATCTTACCTCCAAGCAGAGAGCAGGGACTAATCAGTGAAATCACCTGGTGGAGTTTTGGGTTGGAAAGAAAACCTGCAGCCTCTCGGCCCTCCATGGCACATGATTGCCCACCCCTGTCTTTGAAAGACTAATGGGCTGCATCAATTTATTGACAAAGTCTGTTGTCGATCAGATGTACCGAAAGCTGCTATGAGACAAGCCATGGCTTGTGAACAAAGTAAGTAGAGAAACAGGGCAGACAGGAAAAGTTTGGGCTGAAAATGGGAATCAACAACCCCCCCAAAAAAAGGAAAAAAAAAAAAAAAAAAAAAAGGGAAGCAACCACTTCAAGATACAGCTGAGCATGTATCTTTGTACACTGGCAAGCTACAACCCATCCACCAGTCAGTCAGACAGACAGCCACACCCCACATTATGCAAATATCTGCATAATTTTTGGCCTTGCTATAATCTAGGCCAGGGGTGGGCAATCATGTGCCATGGAGGGCTGAGAGGCTGCAGGTTTTCTTTCCAACCCAAAACTCCACCAGGTGATTTCACAGATTATCTTACCTCCAAGCAGAGAGCAGGGACTAATCAGTGAAATCACCTGGTGGAGTTTTGGGTTGGAAAGAAAACCTGCAGCCTCTCGGCCCTCCATGGAACATGATTGCCCACCCCTGGGATAACTGCTTAGCGAGGTAACTTCGAGGGTAAGTTCGGGGTTTCCTGTTCTACGACGCGGGTTCACTTCTTAGTGAGGCGAGTCTCCATTGCAACATAAACTGAACGGCTAACCTGCTCCAGGGCAGGTTAGGTTCCAGATTGAACTCACTGAGAATAAAATGACCAATGACCAATGAGCTCTCTCGAAAAATGCCTTGTCTGTTCTTGAAGGTTCCTATAGACCTCGGTGCTCGCATTGTCCGAGGAGCACTCTGGCGCGCGAGATTTTTCAGGGACCCCATGGACCCACTTACTTTTCCGGATGACCACCTTTATGAAAGGCTCATATGGCCTACATATCACACAAAAATGTAAACACCATAGGAATGAACAAATGAATTAGACATGTCTGGTGCATGTTAAAAGCGCATGTTGAACAGTGCTATTTCAGGGTGATAATGGCATCAAAGTTTTTTTCCGCACTATACTTCCGCATTGAGACTGTCTGCAATTTTTCTGCCAGTATTCCTTCCGTGCTTTTGCAGTGGCAACGGTGTTGCTTTTGAGGTCTATGGTAGATTTAAATTCTTCATACTTTTTCATGATCGTCTCCTGTTCCTCATTTGTAAAGTACGCAGTCGTTCACTCTCTGGCCTGCTCTGACGCTCCAGACTGGTCCATGTTCGCGATTGGTCAGATGCGGCGGGCTCTATCTACATGTGTGCACATGCTTATAGCAAAGCTGGATCCACTTACCAGGTTGATAACCAGCGTCGTAAGACTGTTTAGCGAGACCGCTGGCTACCTCGCTAACTTGCTTTGTAGAATAGGCCCCTGATCTAGGCAGATGAGTTCACCCCTCATAACACTTTTATGAACAGAAAAAGCTTTAAAACATGTTTTTGTACCAGGCTGTAAACATTTTTAAACCAGCTATAAAAACAGGTGTGTTATGTAAATGGGCTGTAAATGGGTGTTTCATCGCTTCTGCTGCAGAGTTTTGCTGTTGTTTTCTGCATTTGCTTCATTTTCTAACACTTGCAGACTGTTGCAGTTGCTGCTGGGGTTAAATTAGCAGAGCTATGACTGTTTGTACTACACAATTCCTATGACAGTTACATAAATATATATCACATTTGACTGGTGCTCTGTTGTGTGTGAGGGTTGGTCATTAGTTATCTGTGCACCTGCTTTTCTGATGGTAGTGGACCAATCAATGACTCAAACTACTGCACAGCTGTTTCCTCATACCTCATTACAACAAACAAAGCAACTGCCTCCTCCTCCTGCACACTCATCCCAGTTTGCAGCTAAAGTTGTAAGTGGTGTGACTCCCTATATGAGAGTGTGAACTTGTGTGTCAAACTGTGTGAAATGTTTCACATGTTTCATGACTTCAGTCGCGACTCTGAAGATGTTACATATGTGTGATGTACAGTGCACACAGTGATACTTAATGCTGTCTTGTTATAGCCAAATACAGAAACTGTCTATTCAACTCATTTATCATTTAATGACTGAGAAGCAATCTGACACTTTAATGTGATCATATAAGCTGTTTAGTACGATTCAAACTTCACTCACAGTGCTGTCACTGCTCTCTGGAGGTTGTTAAAGGTCAAAGGTACTTTTCTTGTGGCTGTGATGTCCTTGGTTTAAAATGAGCCCAGCAACTTTGAGAAAACAAAGGAGAATAATTGTGTCAAAGTTTCTCTTCAAGTTTTCTTCATATTCTGCTAGTGACCTGTGCTTTGTGAATTAGTCAGCTGCATGATATCGCTAAACAATCATGAGGAATGACCAACTGTTTTTTCTGATTGCCTATGAACATAAGGAAGTGATTTAAGAGAAGAAAAGGACAAATATAGTCTTTTTAGACACTTTAAAGAGCAAAACAAGCTGTTATATTACTGGGTGGTGTGCTTCTGAGGTTTTGGAGACTTTTTTTCAACTTTCTGGCATTCACCAATAATCAATAAGGTGATGTTGAATTGAAGTTTTAATCCCCCTTAGACCTACACTGTAGCTTGTGAATTCGCTCTGCACGTGTGTTTGCGCGATGGTCCTCTTTGACAGCAAGTTGTTTCAAGCTTCCTAAGTAACCAGAGACGGGCCCAATGTAAGAGGAGTTGCAGCGGATAAACATGCTAAAGAGATCCGACGACTTAAATCGTGTTTTTGTGTGTGTGTGTTTCTGCACGCATACTTTCCTCCCCAGTGTGCCAAACACGAAACAACCATATCCTGCCGGTGACAGGATGGTCTCGATATTGATGAGTTGGTAATATTCAGCGCTTTTGTGAATTAGCCCACTTCGAGCTTATTTTGGTTGTTTTTCCAGGTTCAGTTGACATCGGTTTTTCTCTCTGATTAAATGTTAAATGCCTGTAGGCAAAGTCATGTTAATCACGTTAATATTAAAACGACTGTGAACAAAGCGTTACAAAGCATCTCCGTCAGCGATTTCCCATTGAAATAACCGGCATCAAGCCACGAGACATTACTACACGTGACTTCCGCTCTAAACTTTCAAAATAAAAGTGCGATGAAATCATAATTATCGCCACAGCAGGTGATGTTTTTGCTTCTCGCTCAAGACGGAAAAAAACAGTATTATATGGTCAAGTCAAATTAATTAAGCAGTAATTTTCATACGTCATACAGGTCATGGCCTAAATGAATAAAAAGTGTTTTAAGTGAGACTACTGCTCTCCAGATAACGTTGAATGTGCATTATGACCCAAACAATAAAGAAGACATTATTATAGGAAAGGTGTACAGGGGTACTGACTTATGCACAAGTGGCATAATACATGTGCATACACTAGAGTGACCACAGGTCCCAGCTGAAAAGGGGCCTTCCCAGTTTCAATGTTTACCTATGTTCAGCAACTTTGTTATCATTTTTTAACTGTTGTATTTTGTAAAATAAAAAAGAAAAGAGAAAAGAGCAATGCAATATTGGCATTATATAATAGCCACTGGTTTAGCAGCTCTCTCATTGTTGGTATCGGCATTGGCCATTGAAAAACTGTAATCTGTTGGCTTCTGATGTTTATGTCAATTCATGTCATTACCAAGGCTATTGCAGTTTTAACCAACAGAAAAAAAAAACATGCCTTATGTGTCAATAAGTTTTGTGTTTGCCTGTTGCTTTCCTCATCCAGCCTACCGTACACGCTGGACATGCAGGGTGACATCAGGTAGGCTGGCTGTCATCCTGGAAAGGACACTAACACTTTCAAAAGAGCTCCAGGGGAGTTAGAGTCCTCTGAGAGGTAAAAGCAACAAATACGCTTTTTCACACACACACACACACACACACACACACACACACACACACACACACACACACACACACACACACACACACACACACACACACACACACCTCAAGTGTCAAAGGTGGAAATGCCAGTTTATGCAGCCATAATAAAACAATGAAACACAAACAGTGGACCGGCTGGAAGTTTGAGTGAACTGATGAAAAATCTGGTCCTGCAGAAACTTATTTATGTAAATCTGCAGCAAAATGAAAAATGTCCTATATGCAGGTTTAAAACTCTAAGATTAAGTTTTATTCAGACATCATGTTCCTGTGTAATCACAAATTTTTAAAAGTAACACAACTGTGATGACATACAAAACTTCCACATTTCATTCTTAAAAAACTTGAGAAGACATTTTTTCAAATCACAGTTTAAAGTACATCAAGAATTTCATCCAAACTCTTAAATTCCAATCTCACAAGGAGGTCTAGTCACCTCTCTGGAGCCCGTAATATATAAACTAATAATGATGATTATTAAAAAAAACTTTTATATTGAACCCAATTTGAAAGCTATGAGGAGTCGATGCAACGTAAACAGCACTTTTCAGCGGCATTCAAGCTGTTTTTGAAAGTATGATAACAATGCTGGTTCATTACTGTGGTTAACTGTCAGACAGGGGACCTAATGCCCCCCTAAGACAAGCAGTGGCTACCTAAAAAAAACCTGCAAATATTCCACCTTTCTGAATTAAAACCATTAGCCAAATAAAGGTTTTGTTTCTCCTGTTTGGCTTTAATTTTGGATGTGAGCCTCCGGTAGCATCTCGGCTAAGCACGGTTAGCTTGCTGCAGCTGATACAGACACTTCAGACCTGACTTCCCTTTTGTCTTGATACTTCATTCACCTCTATCTTTACATCGCTACATCGCTTTCATAAATTATTCTTTTTCGGGAATTTTCCCAGTCTTACCTGTGCTGTTTATGCCCCCGTCGGTGCGTTTTTGACAGCCAGCCAGCACGGTGTCCGTCAACAAACGCATCAGCAGCTCCGGTAAACAACTGGCTGCCTGGGGCTGACGTCACGTGACGCTGCAGCAGTATGCGCCGCACGAGCATCGTAAATCGACAACATGCAGCAAGCCCATGACAAGAGTTTTACATTTAAGTGAGTGTTTTGTATTTGAAAGTATGTTTTTTTTTTGGTTGCTGTTTACCTTTAAATATCGTTTGAGCTGGTTTGTGTGGTTTTTATTTCTTATTATTTAAATACTTGGTATTGGTTTTGTTTGAACTAGTTTAGAGTTAGTTTAGCGTCTTTTTAATACGGGATAGTCATCAGAGACAAGACACTAGAGGGCCAGAAAAATATCCTGGAATAAAATCTCGAGACAGCATACCACCGGCATATACAAATTTTAGACACAGCACAATTATCTAACAGAGACAACCCTTACAGGAGTCGGTCAGTCAGTAGCCTGGCTTGGCCAGGATGGCCCATTCAGTGCTTTTTGTGTCATTTGTTTAAAACAAAATGAACACGAGGAAAGCTCAAGTTATTTCTCCATAATTTCTATATTCTTATAATTGGCACTGCATTGGTTACTTATAAAATCAGTGAGTTCATTATTCTCTAGCAAAGTCTCATTTCTTTCTTTATCTTGGTTAAGGATTTACACTGCAGGTGTAGTATTAAGAGACATTTTTCAGAACTGCCAGATATGGCAAATAATACTTCCAAGTATTTTTAAATCACCATGAAATCACCTGGTTAAAAAGAGAAGAATTATGTTTTTAACAAGCTTTTAATACTCACTATAGAAGTGACCATCTTGCATCTCCATTTTCTACGGTACAATGGACACACTAATAATAATGCTGTATGTTCTCCATGAGCTTCTTGTTCCCAAAGGCCAACATAGCTTTGCTGATGATAGGGGTAAGCAAAGGGGTGTTTACATCCTGAATCTGACTGCTGTACAGCTCCCATATCCCATTTGTACATACTGTATTGTACCCCTAAAACCAGGTCCCCATGAAAAAAATACATACAAATAAAAATTAAGGTAATCAAAATAATGACTTTAATCATTTTTGCCCCAAAAATTGGAATTAACTCATAGGCCAACAGCCTAAGATGAAATCATGTGCAGCCTCTATTTTGATTTCAAAGGCTTAGGCTATTGACAGACCTTTGATTGTTTTTTTATGACACACCTTTGAAAGATTTTCTTTGATTGTTAGCATTTGTTAAAGTGTCATTGTACCATCTTTTGGTATTTTGTTGGGTGAAACCATGCAGTACTTCTGTGCTCCATGACAGTTTTTTTTACGTCTCTGCTGCATCGGTAACTATAATGTTCGAATCTGCACTCTGACTCAGCCTAACTGGGCCTACCACATTGTCTCAGACAATTAGACTCTGTCAGTCCATTGTATGTGCCCCTGGAGCCACAACTGGCCTCAGTCACTAGGGTACTTCTACTATTCCCCATTTGGTCCTGTGCTGTGAACTAACAAAGGCACTTTATCATTAAACCCCAAAGAAGGGAGAATTCTACTTTTCCAGTGTGTTTCAAGGGAACAAAACAGCTTGTATCAGGGTCAGTTTGGTAGGTTGAGATCTTAAGGAAATAACTAGCAATTATTTGTAACCATAGGAAAAAGATGCTCCATGAGTGAGTAGAGTAAATTCACACATATAAATCTGTTTAATGTGTCCATATATTATCATACTGAAAGTCAAAGGTCCTGTGAAGAACTTACATTTTCTGTGAAATTTGCAGCCCCCAGCTGACAACCCAATGCAACCTGTCTCTCTTGATTTTATAGGGATATCCCAGCGTAAAAGTTAGGGTCAAACTCACCATAACAAGTTAGACATCCCCTTAAGAGATGAATGTTGCCGACTGTTTGCTTCTCTAGTTATACCAACTTTAGTAATGACTGCAGATAGCAATACACAGCGGTCTATGTCTCCAACACTAACCTCAACCAAAACGCCACTCTATAGCCACAAATAATGCTCTGAACAGCACCTAACTTCATCAACATTACATATAGGGTCCCTGACATAGCACTAGCCACCAAACATCTTTTTAGCTTTGCCTGGTTTCTTTAGCAAAGAGACCAAACACAACTCACCCACTCTCTTCCAGTAGCTGCTTGTTTGTAAGGAGACCTCAGGCAAGTCCATCACCGAGTGCAGCGGGGTGGCGCAGCTCTAGAAAGAACATTTATGATCATTTCTTCATGTAAATGCAATCAGACCACAACGCTAAGGCAGAAGCACTACCGCATCTGCAGTACAAAGTGATTATTATGATGATTATTACTTCAAGGAAATGAAGAAATATTTCTATTGTGCGGTTGGTATAACTAGAGAAGCAAGCAGTCGGCAACATTTGATGGGGTGTGTCGAGAGGGTGTCTAACTCAGTGTTACGTGTATTTGACCCTAACTTAATTTTACGCCGGAAGATCCCTTTAACTAGCATGTTCATAGTAAGTGTTATCAAACATAAATGTATATTCCATCTATTCAGTCTGACACCTGCACCCACTGGCAGCAGTTCAGATCAACTGTTTAGAAATTGTCCTGTTGTTGATGGCCTGCTTGAATAAGGTAGGTCATGAAGAGATACTGATATTGGCTTTCTTCCATTTCATACCAAGCCATACATCCTTCAGAGGTGCTTTGATCAGCATTAATCTAATGTCAGCATTTTGTATTATTAGCTAGTGTGTCATTTGCCCTTGATATGCCTTAATTTAACTAACATATACAGTAATTTGAGATTGCCAATAACCCAGGTGCTGCCGTAGTGTGAAGTACAGCCATATAATTAGAGTCTATCTGTGAGGTGCATAGGGCAGAGGGGACGATCCCTTCTGAACAGTGTGCAATTGACATGTCAGTTACGTGTTGACACACACACACACACAGGACTTTTCTGTCCCTTTTGATGTAAGGAGGGCATACACAGGAGATGCAGTCATGTGACAGATTTGTAATAAACCTACAACTGTAAAAAGCACTTTTTTATTGAGGAAATTCTCAATGACAGCAGCTGGGAGATATACAAAATGGCAAAAAGCCAATATAGCACCAGGGAGTGCCTATGAGCATCACTGATACTACGATAAAGCTCTGTAGTTCTCAAATCTTTGATGAACACACACTCTTAGATCATATTAGTTTAGGAGGCAGTTTTGGATGTGTAACAGAATACCTCTAGCTCTTGTCTGAGGCTGTCTTTATCACTTTATCACTGACCTCCTCTGACTGCATTGACTGATAGAGGAGAGAAAAGTTGTGAGAGTAAAAGTGCATCAGCACTGTCAGTTACTGTGCAGCATAGATAATAAACTGTGAGCTTGTATCCCAGCAAAGACACTGAGAATGTTGTTGGCGAACAGGCAGCATGTTTATAAAGAGAAAAGCTATGAAACCTCCTGGGAGGAAACATACAGACAAAGATAAGGAGGAGGGACGAATGAGCAGTAAGACAGACAACCTCTAATATGCTTACTTTGTACCACTACACAGCCACACTCAAACTCACAGCTACTGTTACTTTCTAAACAAAAAAGACTTTATTTATCCTCAATACATATACACAGTAATGCAAATTTATACACAGTAATCAAAATGACATGAATTGTTTTTAGAAAATAAGAGTGCAAATATCACAGTATCAAAAAAACTGTTTTGTGGGTTCTGCTGGAGATGAAAAATTGTGGTGTACTGAGTTTGAAGTTTGAATTTTGACTTAAACCACTTTTTAACAGTTTAAAGTTGCGGTATACTATTCAGATGCATTTTGGTCCACTTTGAAACAAAAAACCCAATAATTACAATCACTGTTTTAACAAAAGGTCTAAATTTGGTCAGGTATAAAATGTGTTGTCCATTTGAAACATTCAGCTTTCAGTTACAATACAAACTGTACATACATGAAATTTCTTCAATAAGAACATTTAAACAATAGAACAGACAACTTGCTGAGGTTATATAAGTATATTTTAAAAGTCTAAAGTGCTACTTCACAAGGTAATAGCTCTAAAACAAATGCTTGCAGAGTACAAAATGGCAAATAAAAGCTTATCTAGGGCTCAATAAATCAAAATAATAATAATCATAATAAAACACAGCACTGTTACCCACAATCATTACCTCTCTCTTTGTGATCCTGTCTGGGTATAAAGCTTGACTGTATCCCCAGCTTACAGTGTAAAATTTCAAATAGACTCTTTTCCATCTATAACTAGACCCAGTCTAGGTATTTCATTATAAAAACAGGCTCCTGGCCTGGTTATGAGTCCCTGAGTGAGGGTGTCATTTCTCCCCTACTGCTCTGAAAACACTCTTCAGTAATGAAAGATTTCAGCCTCTTTACTGAAAAGCATATAAACTTGGTCTCGATATTACTTCATGCTGATACCTTTTGTTTACCTGTGAGTGTCATCTGTAGCTTTTCAAAAATTAACTACAAAGATTGAAAACTTGTCGATCATCTTAAAGAAAAGATTAATAAACACATCTTGTACCCATATTTGTACCCGTAAGAATGACTGTTGAAGTCGGTTTCCCTTAAAAATTCAGTGCGGACAGACAGTTTACCTTAAGAAGTGCTTTACCAGTATGAGCATCATCATCATTATCCCCATTATTATTATAATAATAATTATTATTATCATTATTATTACACAGAGAGTAATACTGAGTTACCAGCACACTTAGTGCTGCAGAGCAGAAACAGAGTTCAAATAGCACCAGGATTAGACAGTGAGTCTACACTGTCACAGTCACTGGTGGAACTTTCATCCATTTTATCCTTAACATTGAGAAGAGGAACAGATTTGACTTCAACAGCTTCACTTTGGCAGCACTGATTTCATGTCAAGTCCCTCTAACTCTTCTCCTGGGCCTGGAGCATGTGTTGTCTGGTAGATCCAGAGCTGGTGCTGCCTGATGCAGAGCCACCAGCCTGTTTCCTTATCCAGTCCAGCATGAAGAACCGCAGCATCAGCAAAAAGCCTAGAAAAAAGACCAGAGCTGAGGGTTAATTACTCATTTTAGACTTTGTAACCATTTAGTGGGACAAAAGTTACAGGACTAAATTTCAGGACTTTACTAGGCATCTACTTGCTAGTGCTTTTTAGCAGTGTGTTGCTGAAAAGTCACTGTTTTCCTTTGAAAATGTGTTCATTCAGTTTTATTGTTACAAACATGGTTTACTGTTGATCTAGTGCCCTTAAAATAAATCTCTTTATAAAGCCTGTCAACAAGCCACTTTTGGTAAAGGTATTCAGAAATCATTCAAATTAAAATAGATGCATAGACGCAACAAATGCAGTCCATCAGACAGATGACCTCTCTGGGAACGGGTACACCTTACAACATACAATGATCCTGCTTATCAGATGTGTTTAAAAGGATAAAAATGTCATATATTAGGCTCATTATGTACTTATACTTATATTGTTGGATGTGCACTTTTACAGTGTCCAAAAGAGAGATAGGTTGATACCAGTTCATTAAGCCATACAAGTATTTTACATGTTGTCAGCTTAGCTACAGTACAGCCTGGGCAGGAAATCGTCTGTCACACACACACCTCTACAAAACCACAACTGGTTACTCTATGTAAAAATTAATTAAACCTCGTAAGACAGTGAGCTGTAGATGTGTGATCAGATTAACTCTGTTTACTCTGGATGTTGTTTTTTCTTTGTCAGTGTAACTTAACTGAGGACAGACATGACATAATGTTAATACCATCAATCTCTCTCACCAGGAAAAATCTTTTTTAATAAATGCATTTTTTAAAATATCAATCCATTTCCTTATGATTTAGTTTTTTTGTGCATTTAATACAGTCATTGATATGGGGACAAAGGTGCAAACAATAGATAAAGATTTGAAGAGTTGTTTCATTGAATTGGCATGTTTCTAAAAATAAAATTATACTTCTCGACTACAATGTGCAGCAACAGTGGGGTTAAAAAATTGAGCTTTTGGATCTAAATCAAAAATAAGCTGTGGCATGCTGCAAATGAAAGGAAACAGCTTTTCTTCTGACAGGGACCAGAAACAGATGACCTTGATTAACAATGGCTCATTCCCACACTGATACAATGGACAACAAGCTCTAAGCGCACAGCAACAATCTCTTTGGCAACACTGAAAATGACTCTGTCCAAAGCTGTTCTGTCCTATATATAGTTTACCTTCACCGGATGTTGCAATAAAAATGGGAGTTTTTTTAAATATGGAGCATGTCATGATTTATCACAGTGCTTTCAAAGATAACTGGATTAAACCCAAAGTGCAGTCTGAGGAACTGTTTTAAATTAGACCTGTGCAGCTTTTACACACACTATACATGTGCAAATTACAAAATTTCAAAGCACATGCTAAGGATTAAATCCCCCAAACTCTGCTGCCGTAAAATAATCTTCTGCTTAATTTGAATCTTAAGCACTGACATCATTGGACTTTCTCTATGCAAATCAACCTCAGTGTAAAAAACAAACAAACAAACAAACAAAAACAAACAAACAGGAATGTATGCTATTGGAAATTTGCCGATATCTGACACACCAATAATTTTACTGGTATTAGCACACCTTTTTTTAATAGTAATGACTGAAAAGTTTCTTCTGTAATATAATTTAACTATTGCCCTTTTTTCTGAAAGTTTTTTTGATTTAGAACCAGACTAACAGCATTTAAACTTTCCATGGATAACAATGGATTTAAAAAAATATTTTCATTACATCATATACTTGCTGTCTCTTTTCAAAACCTTAAAACATGTCATCACATGCGCATAGTTCATGCATCACCTTTCTGACTGATTAGAAATTTTTATACCTGCCAAAATTGATAATGAACTCCTTCAGCTGTTATCTGCTGATAGTGATATCACACCCATAATATCCAGCATTTTATACACCAACACCAGCTCTAAATAACCTGTGCAGCTTGAGTGACATTTTACCATCTGTTGTGAGTTGGTGGCACTGTCTTGTCATCGCCTTAACTGCATCAGTGTTCAAAAGTTGTGTCAAGCTCAAAACCTTCAGTAACTGTGACAGATGACCCTATAAGATGACCTAAAAGTAATACATTACAGTATACATTTGTAAATATTGTGACATTATCCTGTTTTTATTACATCAGCAACTAAATGGGTCCATGGCTGTCTCTAGCTCTGTCTGGCACATACTGGCACACTTTCTCTTTATATATGCAGTGCAGCTCTGTGCAACGGAGAGTGGCGATACTGATGGCTCTTCTCAACAATCATATCAAAAACAAGAGCAAACTGCACAGTGTTACAAAACTTTTACAGGCATGTTTGTGCTTCAATATTAAAAGGGCACTATGCTGTGTGGATTAAACCTTAACATTTAAGTGATTTCCCCATCTATTTTAAAATAACTGATTATACCATAAACACAAACCTTGAAAAGAGTTGATGATGCAGAACAAGAAGAGTACAAAGTCAGAAATTGGGTCAAAGTCCAGGAAGGTCAGAACCCATGCTGTCCCAAAGAGGCAACTGAGGCCCCAGATGCTGAGGAAAGCCACCCTGTTCTGCCTCCATTCATCCCTGGAGCGGATCTGCCTATAAACCAGGAACAGCATCACAAGGCCTGAGACCACCAGGATGACCAAGATTGTCATGTTGGTGAAGTAGTGGGCAAGTATAGCTTTGGGTCCGAGTGTCATCCAACACCTGGAAATACAGAATACAGTCTGTGAGAGTAAGCAAAATAATAAAAAAGGATATGTTCAAAGTAGAAACATGTTGGGATTACAAATGCTGCAAAAGATTCAGTTTCAGTACAACATGCTGAGGCTTGTTTCAGATACAGACAGTCATGTGACGACTGTAGTCTGAAGTTTCAAGTGTCCTCTGCAATTTGGGAAGTGTTTACACAGTTTTGTGTCTTCAGTGTGTTCAGTATAATTTTGGGATGAGCACATTTTGGAGAAATGAGGAGAAGAAAATAATTATGAAATAGAGTGATACACGTTAGAAGGACAAAAAGACTCTGTCTTCACACCCAGAAACGAGAACCATTTTTTGATGGTTCTTTGAGGACATTTTGTGGGTTTTTTGAAGAACTGTTTAGGGAGATACAATGTAACACAAGAACTTAATTGATCTCCAAAGGGAAAGTCATTAGTGACGATCCTTGTTAGAGAAGTCTTTCATGGACAGTGCTTCTATTTGATTAAATATTGACCAGATTTAGCTGCTGATATTTGTTTTCTGCAAATATCACAGTCCAAAGAGTTTGGCTTACATCAAATATGGACCTGATTCATCATCACCAGGCACCTCTCGCAGTCCATAAATGTCACCAACTGCAGCCAGGATTCCAACAAGAAGAGCAGGGAGAGCTGGAGAAGAAGAAAAGGATTATCACAATCTTTGCCCACAATGTTTATTACTCAAGATCTTTTTGAGTCACTTTATCACACAAACTCACCAAAACCAAAGATGTTCCACACATATGGCTTAGGGGAGGGGCTGAAAACCATGAAGACCAACCAGAAGGTGTGAAAAGTTTCTATGCCCATCCAGCTGAGGGAGCAGAGCAGGGCGTAATGGAGGCCTGCCCCTACCCAGGTGCACACATCATTCCTTACGTCAGGGCCAGCAAGACCTTCTCTCTTGGTCTAAGCATAGTCAGAAAAGTACATTTATTTATTTATATATTTTCATAAATATGTAAATACAATTATTCCCTATTGTCTGTTCTCTTTATGTCATATTATATCCACTTGGTTGAGCTGCTTCCAGTGTTGTAGATTTTGTAGATACAATTTTTTATCCAATCAAATTTTAGCTAGCTTGTGTTGTCAGGTGCTATGAAATCTTCAGAATCGACAGAGCAGGCTCCTGTGCGCTTTAAGTGAACAGACACAGTCAGTTGCAATAGTCATTCAGATCTTGAGTCTGCGACACCATGGCCATCTAGAAGGTGGCCAAGGTGAACTGGACATGTTTGTGTCCTGTGATTGGATAAGCACTCGTGAAAATCTAAAAGGCGGCACTTTGAAAAATATCGAACTAAACTCAGAGATCCGTTGGCTACCAACAGCTATCGCTGTATTTGGCCGTATAGGAACACAATTGGACAGACATGACTTTCAGAATTAGCCTCCATGTTCTTAGAAAAGGACTTATTGATGGGACTGAAATGCACAGATTAACTGTACCATAGAGCTATTGAAGTCTTCTTGAGAAAAGAAAGGAGGATGGAGGATTTATCTTCAAATAAGCAGGCACTGTGAAGGAGATTCATATTGGTAAGTGCAAGCTTTATATTTTTAATATCTTTTCTGTCATTAGATTTTTGAAGTCACATCAGTCACAGCTGCGCCATCATGTCCTATTGTTTTGCTGTTGCATATTCTCAAAAACAAATGCAAAAAAACTGTTTACTTTATTTTCAATGAATAGTTTGTTTTGTTATTGTCTTTTTGGTGTCTTAAATATGAAATAGCGACAATGTGCAATTCATTGGACAAACTTGTTTGAGTGTACTTTTGGTGGCCTTTTGTTGACTAATATCTTCAAATCGCCTTTTATTTTTGAGTTTTGACAGTATCTGTGATCTTAGTTTCCTACTCTTAACTGTGAATGTGTGCTTATTGGTTTTAAATGCTCTGGAAATTAAGTGCTGCTCGACTAGCCTATATAAGGGTGATGTAATGTGTAAGTATGATTCTGATGGATTCTCAAGCCATGGTGTCATATTGATGACATTATGAGGTGTATTAATTTAGGTAGGACAAAGTGGAACAACACTGAAGGCCTAGGCGGCATAAATTGTACGGCCCGCCACTGTTCCTTACCACATTGGCCAGGATCCCAGTCAGGAAGAAGAGCAGGTAGAGGAGGAGGAGAGAACCAGCCAAGCCAAGGTGGATCGGCATGGACTGCTCCTTGGAGCGCTTACTGGAGAGAGAGTGAAAATAGGTAAATGAAAAAATTGAAAGAAAAGATGCATCTAAACATTAATCAAAATTAGCCTTCCAAAAACGGCCTTACCATTTCCTGCAAAGGAAAATGATGAGAGCAATGCAGCTGACCACAGACACAGCAGAGCCTAGAGATGAAATTGCAGTCAGAGCCAGAAGGTGGCGCACTGGGAGACCAGGTCTCAGTTGCTAACAGAGATAAAACAAGAGAGTTACTATGTTTCTTTGCTTCTACAACCCATGTGTCTCCGTTATGTGTTAGACTTTCTACCTGCATTTCAATGTAACCTGCAGAGCTGACACAGATTTACATATTTTATTTTATTGTCTGACTTCAGAAATTTGATTAAATGTTTCTGGAGTGACCTCATTCAGTTTTTAACGCTTACTGTTTTAAATGTAGTTTCATGTTAACTTCTCTTACCTATTAAAACACTTTAAATATTGCTTTTATGTTCCAAATGTGTTATGTAAAGCCTTGCCATGCTTTCTGTGCAAAAATGTTAAAAACATCCTGTAAACCATATAACTTTATTCCTTCCTTCCTTTTTTCTTGGTCAAATAGCAGTGTAAGGGCTGCATGTCTCACCACAAGCACAGCGAAGTACGTCAGGTGGTTACAGAGGCACTCTGTGTAATTTGTTCCATTCTCCCGGGTCTCACATCCGTCCATCACCCAATTCACCGATTCATCTTCAAAATAAAAATACAGTCTTAACTCTTACAAGTGTGAAAGTTGGATGTTAATGTGTAATCAGCACTGCTGTTGATACAAGTCTTTCTTTTCTTAAGGGTCCCAACCTTTTTTTGTGTCCCATGAAACACATTTCCTTGAATGTTTTTTCTGAAATGAAGAGAAGAGCAAGAGTTTAGCTGTTATCATTTCATATTTGGGGTAACAAAGTTCTAAACATGGACAAAGTTTCAGGGTCTTTTTAAGTGTCTAAACCACCCCTTCAAGACTTTTGGTGGTTTTTGTGACGTGGGTCACAGCTTGAATCACGTCATGGAAGTTACTAGATGCTGTTTGTTCATAAAACATCATCCGCTGCAAACCACAAGTAAGAGGCTGGGTTATTTGAATTATTCAGTGTGCATGTTTCAGCAACAAAAGAACATTTGATCCAATTGGGCATCATTCACTGACTGATCTTCAGACCAAATTTGTTCTTAAAATTTGCTCAAGAAGTTTTGAGATGGTTCTAATATCCTCCAGAGTTTTCTTATTTATGATTAGACTTTATAAATAATGTTTGGTCTAAACTCCAAAAGGTTAAGGAGCTATTTCAGGTATGGAAAGCCCATAAATCAATGTGAAAGAACTGATTTTGATTTTTTTTAAATTAAAATATATGAATTAATATACTTCAGTAAACTCTGGACTTATTTTTGGAACTTTGATTTTACTTTCACAACAATACTAGGCAACTTGGTGATTAGGTGACATGCCACAGTGGAAAAAAGATGAAGGGAAAACTTATATCAACTCCTTTTTGGTATCTATTACTGGTCCTCTGAAGTATATTTCAAATTATTTTCATAAAAGAGTTCAAAAATATTGAAAAGACACAATCAAGTGAAAACAGATCACACTGACAAAGGATGGCAAACTTACTGGGATGAGATTATGGTGAAAACCAATCTTGATTGGCTCAGAGAGGTTTTCGATGGTGTCATTTCCGACCGTGATTTCCACCACATTCAGAAGCTCACCCTCCTGATCCTTCTGAAACACACACACACATACAGTGCGCACATGTACACGCACACACACACACATTTTTTACATCCCTAATAAGACAAAAAAAAAAAAACTGTACTAACAGAGACAAGCTGAAGCGTTATGGTGTCCCTGTCAAGAGCAACACTGCATCAAAAATGTGAACCGAGCCTCACCTGAAACATAGATTTGTCTTCATGGAAAGTGCAGACTACTTTGTTGGTGGATTGTGTTGCATTTTTTAGAGCTGAAGGGATCTGGACAGTGGTAGTGATCTCTGCAGATATACCTTTGGTATTCTGAAACAAAATTTATACAAAAAGTCAAAAACTCTGCTAAACATGAACAGAGACATGTCAATACATGCCAAAAATCAAGTCATGATTATTCAATCAAATGGTGCATATGGACTCAAAATGGTTTCTGATTTTCAGACTTGATTTAAAGCCTCTCTTGGATCATAAGGCTGCTTTGCTTGTGTGTGTGCAGCAGCATCACAACCTCCCTATTTACACAGCTGTTATTAGTAGATCTGAACATGGATTGCTGGGTTCTGACACAGTTTGTCCTATTTTAGTATGCTCTGGAGGGAAAATATCAGCTTTCAAAATGTGTTCTCTACTTGTCTGTAAATATGCTGCTATCATTTGCTTTCATGTGGTTCACCTCTCACCTATTTTCTCAACTTAGTCACCACCACCCTCAACTTAATGAAGATGTTAACACGGTTACTCATTTACAGGCTTAAAATATAGAGAAAAGTGAACCGCTGACTGAAAATGGAGACACAAGAGTACTAAGAGTGAAACAGACTACAAACTGGAGCTTTTGTGGAGAGGAATGTATTTTGTTTATCATGCTTCTGTGTTACATGCTTGTATTTGTGCCCTCTTATGGTTCTGTTTTGTTACCTGCTTTGAGAGTACAGACAAACTTCTTTTTGATCACATATCCAAGGCTGTCAACAAAATTAACCCCCTGGATCCATGCTATCAATAAATACTAATCTTATTTTATTAATCTTTTTTATCCTTTCAAAGAAGATGTCTGAGACCGGCCCTCTATTCCTAGATCTTATGGACATGCTCCACAGACACTGCACATTAAGCTGACCAATAGATATCACATTTTCCAGGAAATCTGTTAGTCCCTATTTAATAGATGGACTGCCACTTGTGATAATGCTCAGGCCATATGATTTAATGTAATGGATGGATGGCAGCTTATTTTACTGCATGCTGGCTGTCAATCTTTCTCTTCTTTCTTTTGTTTTTGGCAGTATTCCTGCTCTCTAATTCACAATCCTTCTTTACTGTTATTTGTTTTGTCATATGTCTTTTCGTTATGCTTTACAACCAAAGACCAATGAAAAGTCAGTGGGAGAGCTCTATCTCCAATGAGCAGAGTAGCTCTGAATGGGCCTGGGTGAGTCTTGGCCGACTCACTTTGAACACGCGCCAGCCTACTCAGATATCTTAATAGTAACAAACCAAGATGAAAAAAAAATGGACTTAGTTGCAACAAATGTCCAAAAGTTCTGGTTTCCAACACACACTCAGATCAGGTACATCTGTGGTGATTAGGAAGAATGCTTTTCTTTGTTGTTCTTTTTTAAAACTCATGTTTTGTCTTGAGCTGTTTTTAAAACTTTCTTATGCTGAATCTTTCTTATAAAACCAGTTAATGGACCAGTTAATGGTTGATTATTGTGAATTTACCTCTTAGGTCTGGCTTATTCTAGCCAATAAGACATCACAGAAAACTGTTCCAACGCCTTAGTTATTGGTTTTATAAGAAGTACAGCTAACACACACACACTCACGGGCATGTACGCGCGCACGCACACACATATTTATATGTGGCTCATTTCTTAGTGTATCTGATGCTCTAGCTGTGAAAAAGTTTGCATAATGTAAGTCAATTGTATCAAATGCTTTATATTTAGTCTCAGTGTAATGATCTGACATTAAAACCTTCAAACCTGCCAAAACACTTCACTGACTGATGGTGCAAGTGCACATGGGTTATTATCATCAGCACAGTGGGCATAGGCCTTAGGACATCAGCACACATTCACTAAATGCACACAGATTTCAGGGAAGAGAGGAGAGCTGGGTACTCAGATCTGTACAGCAGACACTCAGAAAGGACGCCACCATGCTCAAGGTTTTACAGGCAGGTAACACCTGGTGACAAAGAACGGAGGGAGAGCCAGACCACAGTGCCCACAACTTCCTATCGAGGAGATGTTTTGCTGCATTTTCATTTCCCCTACCATGGTTAGACTAAATAAAAGTCTCTGTGCTGCTATCACACAGTCTACAGCCACTCTTTGAAGTCAGTTTTGAGGTGGAGTGTTTTCTGTCATCATTGCATGAGCTGAAATTGTGAATCAATCTGTCTTTGAGCACTGTTTTTATGGACTGGCAGCACAATGCCCAGGGAACTGAATTGAATTTGTTTAGGTTGATATTTATTAATTTATTTATTTATTTATTCATTCATTGGAATCAAACTCCTGCCTTTAACTCTGTAAATCCTCAGCAGCAGGAGCTGGCTGTAATAGTTAGAAATCCAGTGGCTCGAGTAGGTGTCACGACTTTAAATAATCACAGAGGGTAATGATTTTCACTGTTATAAAAGCAGGATGTAGTTTTGGTCTGCTTTCACATAGACAGGAGGAGAGATAAGAGGTTTGACTTTGTGCACCAGGAGCACCACAACTAACACAAACTGAAATATCCTCAAAAGCAGATTCAAAGCAAAATATGTTTTGACCAGCACATTTTGCAAAGTCAAAAACTAAATTTGAGCTTAATCTCTTGGATGAACAGATTTTAAGACTTCAGGAAAATTCTAAAACAATTCACTTTGAGAATTTGCAGTGCTAAAAAGGAAACTGCTTGCTGATAAGTGTTAAAAATTCCCCAAACAGCTGCTCAAGGACCTTATACATGAAATGTTCCAGCATAGTGCGGTTTCTTTTTCAATAAGAACATAAAGCAGCTTTTACATTTGTTTTATTTATTTTCAGATTGTGTCTGTTTGTGTCTCACACTGGTAATGTTGATTCCTCTGAAACGGTCTCCCATCTCCACCTCAACAGTGCGTCCACCGTCTTTAACCACCTTCTCCATCTGGACCTCAGTGGTGTTCCCTTTACTTGTGTCTTCAGTCCTGCACACACATATGAGGACACAGAGTACGTTACCATGTATAAACTAAATGTGGTTGCAGAAGCAGACCTGTTTTTGACCCTGTGAAAGCCCAGCCTCTACTACTGAAAGGACGATGACCTGCTCTCCATGATAAGTGTTTGAAGACGAAACACTGTCCAATAGTAAAACTCTCAAGTGATGAGGACTCTGATGTTCACTTTTCAACACATACCTGGGCCTTTTCGGGTAGTCCGCATAACTGCAGACAGAACTGTGAGACTCCTTCAAAGTTTATGATAAAAATTTCTCACTTCAGTTGCTTGCTGAAGTAAATAAGTACTGTGATATTATTACACAATTACAAACTGAAGCATTAACTGCAGGAGGACTCGAGAGGATGAAGGAGGATTCAACAAATCTTACAGATAAAGACTGTTTTAATGTTTATGACAGGACCCAAATAATGGACTGTATGGACGTTCATGTGCCCTGGTGTTCAGCCACAGTTCCTGCAGAGGTAAAGAGACACCACAAACTGTGCTTTTGCTTTCATTGAACTTTCAGGGAAAAGATTGGGATAAGCTGAAATTTAGACAGAGATCTGACAACTTGTTCTTATCACAGTGTGATAAGAAGCTGATTCTGAACAAAAGATGAAGGCTTTCTAGCGCGTATTTAGTTAATGAAATGTACACACAGCAGTACGTATTTCACCACTTTTTCTTTTTTCGGTGGAGTGACATTTTAAGGGAAGCTGAGCTTCCCTTGCAGTCTAAGAGCAATCGCCACTGCACAGCATGTGTTTCATTAAGAGAAGTGTGGAGCACATTTACAAGAAATGTGTCTCTTTCCTTCAGGAAAGTTGGTCCAGAATAGTTTGGAGTTAAAGGGTAATGTTGTTTGTGATGATAATTTACAGATTATAGGAGCTTGAATTGGACCTGTCTTGGTTTCGTCTGTGGTGACCCAAAACACAGAAGATTCCAGACTTCACTTAGACTTGAGGCATGGTAACTCAACCGCCACACTGACAGGAGGTGTGGCTGTCTTTCTTTATGTGTCTTTTCAGTGACACCTCTAATGTCATAAGGTTGAGAGCCTGCTTCTTATTTCTGCACCATCTCCAGCCCTAAAAGATTCACACACTCTGCTCATCTGACATCAGCAAGGACTGTGAGGGCTGGGTTAGTGTGGGAGGCTCAACTTCCTGTGTGTTGTCAATGTTAATCACACAAAACTTCACAACAAGCCTAGCAATTAAGAAAACAACATACAAGACAAAACACCCTGCTGTAATTCTTCTGTAGCAAATATGCATGAGAAAAAAGGAAGGAGAAATTACGTGTCGACTTTGGCGGGTTTTATGTCATTCTGGCTTCCCTGGTTCAGTTCAGCTTGTGACAATTCTGCAAAAATAAAGAAGAGAACTTTGAGACTTTAAAATTTCATAGGAAAAGTCTATGCTTCACATAATAGACTGAACAAAAGAAAGGAAGGTCACCTAAATCTTTAATCAGGACATAACAAAAGTTACATGTTAAAAAACAATGAAAAACTGTTCTGATAACTTTCAGTCTCTCTTACTGCAGGCGATGGGAGTCCCATTGAACTTGTAGTCCGTATGTATTTTTCTACTGATGACATCACCCATGACCCCTCCATTGATGATCCCAAATGGTGCTTCAGGTGCTTTGAAGCCGTTTGATAGATGGCTGCAGCAGGTGTGATCAGGCAGTCGGTCAGGTGGGCACAGAGAGATGTACTTTCCCCTGAACTGTCGGACAAATACAAAAAAACTAAGACTGTGACAGAGATCACATACAAACATGTCAGTATGACACGTTGCTGTTAGAGGGGATGCTTTAAAGAAAGGTGTAAAGGTGTAAAGATGTAAGTTTGGTTTTCACACCTGTAACCATATGTACTGAAAATTGCTCTTCTAAGTTTGGCGTGAAAAGAAAGAACTGTGTGTCTAACTGAAGGTCAACATGTCTGTATGATAAATTACTATAATCAAATTCAAAATAATTATAAATCCCTTCGTTGGATTGGTGTTTTGTAATATTGTAATGTTTTGAGATAAATTTGAGTTAAAAATTTTAGCTATTTTTTATTTTTTATTTTCATGAGCTGTTTGCAATACAGAACTTTTTCAGGATATTCAAATTTTTTTTAGATGCACCTATATATATATATTTTTTTTTCAAAACACCATATTCACTTGTTCCTTTCTCCCTGGTTTACCTGAAGCCGGAGATGGTCCTGCAGGGGCTCCCAGTACAGACAGAAGTGGCTCTCCAGCTTTGACACATTCTCACTGAGTGGGAGTTCTTTGACTTGGCTACACACAGAGGTGATCCGTCCATCAATGGACATAGAGTTTCTGTCGGCTGAGATTACAATCCTGTCACAGCCTGTGGAGAGGTTGAGGTTTAGTTTCAAGGGGCCACTGCCATGCTGCCATGTCCCACAAAAGTTCCAGTCCTCGTAGGTTACAGCTGAACCTGAAGGAGAAAGAAGAAGGCCCACATTAAACTGTAATGTCTTTATGTTTGCTTTTGTTTCTTTTCTAAATCACATAAATTAACTGAATTTCCCCTCAGGGATAAATAAAGTTCTTCTTCTCTTTTTATTAGCCAATGAAACAGAAACAAACATGAGAGTTTCACACAAAGAGTTTCCCACATTACATATACACACAGGTGCAATACAAAAATGGTTTTATCCAACTCTGACTCAGTATAACTTTCTTAATATGAGGGAAGTCAGCTTGTTGAAAGATTTTCTGTTTTTTTTTTTGTTTTTTTTTTTGTATTGAGCTCTTGAAGGTTTATGGGTCACTGCACCAAAACAGAGCTCTACTGTATGTGTGACACTGAACTCACATATGTAATTTGTTGTAAGGACAAAAGCAAGACAGACAAGCGCCTGAAATGTCGTACCGGTTGTCACTGGAGCCCACATATCCAGATCAGCTGAACCTCAGACTGATTTTGGTACAAGTGAAACTGCACTGATGGCAAGTTTAATTGCCTTGTTTGCAAAATACACTTTGTGTAATTTAAAAAGCACTTTAGGCTACTGCACACAACTTAACAATAACAATGATATTTGGTGTGACACAATATAAGGCAAAAACCACAGTTATTTATCTATCGACAAAGAAATTATCGTGGTTTGAAATTAGGTGCAAGTGATTTTGGGGTGTCAGTGTTTCCCACAGAATGATGCTGCACCTGTGGTGTGAAAAAATTGTAGCACTGTGAATACTTTACAGATGCACCTTACATGTGATCCAACAAGACAAGAAAACGTTTATCATGTAGGGTTTTGCAGCAATCCAAAACTTGGATAGTGCAGAAGAACGACATATGAAGAGAGTTTGATTTGAAGGTTATCAAACCTGAGTGGCAGAGTGACAAGACATCCTCAAAATCATTGATTGTAAATGGTGGCTAAGTCTGTAATATTGTGATGTTGATTGGTGCATAAACTCGGGTGGCCAGAAATGTACTTGAAATGTACTGATATCATCTTTGTGTGGAAAACAGTTTTCATACACTTACTAGAAGTCTAAAAATCTCAACACATCATCTATTTCAACAAAGGAAATATGGTATTCTCTGCAAAAACCTCAATCAAATTATTTTAGTCTTACTGACAGTAAAAAGTGTCTCATTAGGAGTTCAGATTTGTGGCATTCAATACCTTAAAATAAGACATTTTTTCTAACTTGTTTGCTGATTTGGGCTCAAATGAAGCCCAAAAAAACACTTTTTATTAGAAATAAGACAGAAACACTTGTGAAGATTAGAGTTCCTGCAGTGTAACCGTCTAGCTTTGTGATCAGATTGTTGCAAGTTTTACTGCATAAACCTTACCTTTACAATTCAGGGTAAACCTCAACTCCTGTAACACTGACTCAATCACAAAAGAAATAAAGATGGCAGAAAATAAAGCAGAAAATAGATTGATACAAGGCTTTTAAAACCACCAACCAAAGGACGTATTATGACAGGGCAGAAGGAACAGTGAAATGTATAATAAAACACAGTGAGTAAGATGAGGACTAAGGTGTAATGAAACCCTAATGGGTTCAGTGCAGCTTAAAGAGCCTCATGATAAAGATATTTGCTGTTTTCTTGGGCTTGTCTCACCTGCGGAGTACAGGGTGATCAGGACGAAGGCAACCATCAGATTTTCTGTCAGTCGAGGCTCCATTGCTCACAACTGCTTGTAACAACTACAAAGGAAAGTGAAATGCAGTTAAAGAAAGAGGAACAAACATAAAGTTTATGTCTGCAAAGGAGGGGAAACAGTCAGTGAAACACAAACACTGCCTGTGTGAAACCTATGAATGGGTAAATAGAAGAACTGTGAGCATGTGAAGCAGTTCTGCAACCACAAAAGGCAGATTTCTTTAACACAAGCTTATATTTGACATGACTTATGAAACCCACACATCCTACATAAAACAAGAAATCCTTATCTTGAGTTTGCAAAGGTTTGACATAAAGGTTTTTGTAATGACACCATTATTATCCACATGTCTGTGCTGTTATCTGCACTCTCTTATCAATGAATACAAATGGGTTGAGACCCAAAATACACACAGGGACCTTTCTGCGCTGTTATCAATGGAAACAGTCTTTCCCTTCAACTGACACAAGCACAAGCATGAACACACCAACATTCTAGCTTCTCCTTCTTCTTTTTATTTCACTCCACATATGAAGGTAACATTGGGATGTGGACTGCTTTTAGTCTGACAAGTGTTCCCAGGAGACAGAAATGTGAAAGAAAGTTGTCTGTCAACTCTTGCATGTTTTTTTTTTTTTTCTCAGACAACCACACATACGTGACAGAAATGCAGAGTTGCTTTCATTTCCATCCACAGCAGACTTCACCTCAGACTGTGAGGGTGAACTAAACACTGCTGTGTGTGTGTGTGTGTGTGTGTGTGTGTGTGTGTGTGTGTGTGTGTGTGTGTGTGTGTGTGTGTGTGTGTGTATGTGTGTGTGTGTGTGTGTGTGTGTGTGCAACAGGGAGAATATGCCTCAAAATGCAGAGGCTGATCTTTGAGGGGAAATGGAGCTGTTGTGGTTCTATCATCAGCAGAATGAGTAGACAGACAAAAAGTAAGAGAGAGATTACTGTCTGGCTGCACAGTCTGAGGGGGTCAGCTGGCTATTTATATCAACCTACACTGAAACACATTTGATATCAGAGACAGGCTCAAGCCTTTGACAAGCACAGTGACATTAACTGGTAAGCAAACACAAACAGACGAGAACGCTTTTCAACACGCCGCGTAGCAACATCCTCTTGTTATGTGAGCAAGTATGAATTAAAAAAGGCAACTGAGCTGCAGATTCTCATTCCTCGCCTCACTGATGACAGAAATCAAGTTAGTTTTTCAAACCCACTAACACACAAATCCTTTTCTCTGAGCCAAGTGGTCAGAGGCCCAAACCCATTCATTGAATTGATCACTTATTTTGTCAAAGCTTTCAATGATTATATCCACAGACACTTGGCAGATTCTTTTTGCTAAACACTGACAACATTCTCACTTTCTCAAACACACCTATATTATGCACTGGGATACACTTGAGACGAGCAACCACAGGTGTCAGAGATGAAACACAGTTGTAACACAGTTTACACCTGGTTATGAAACCACTATAGTGCAGCACTGCGCATACGAGTGAGCTGAAAGTTGATATGAAAGATAGCTGGAGACAACCTGAGAGGCAGAGAATGAAGAGTATGTGTGAGAGGTGTCAAACTGCAGAAGAGAAAGAAGAGAGAGAAGACAAAGAGCAAGACCAAAAATAGAGGCCATCTCTTAATCACCATTATTTTAATTGATATTTATGTCATAGCTGTGAAAATGGATTACCAGGGAATTCACATCTGCATCACATATATTTAAGCAATTTAAAACCTCTTTAAAACTTAAAGCTTAACTGTCTGTTTAGCTGGACGTTAAGCTTTTTTCATAGCCACATCTACAACTAGTGAGAGGGACTATGCATCAATTATTCACTCAACTTTAAAAGCTTTGGCTTTATTTGGGTTATTTTGGGCTTAAATTTTATTGTGATTTAGAATGATGGCTCTCACTTTTTAGCCCTGCAGTTGCTGGCTTGTGATCACTCATGACTTGTGATCGCAACAGCCTCTCTTTCATTCTGCTACTTGGATTTTCAGGTACACATGAATTCACATGCCTGCTTCCTGCACCTCTCCCTGCTCTCCTCTCTCCTCCTGCTCCTCTCCCTGCTCTCCTTTCTCCTGCTCCTCTCCCTGTTCTCCTCCCTCCTCCTGCTCCTCTCCCTGCTTTCCTCTCTCCTCCTGCTCCTCTCCCTGCTCTCCTCTGTCCTCCTGCTCCTCTCCCTGCTTTCCAGTTTGTACCACTGTTATGCAACATGTTTAAGACACAGAAAGAGCTGAAACTTCCTCATGCTTCAAAAGTTTGTTTCACATTGGTCTGAGCTGCTTAGGATGAAGGAAAGGTATAAGCTGTTTGAGGGGAAGGGGTGCACCTATGCTCTGCACTCTTCTTTCAACTCTTCTTTCAACACACAATCTGATTTACTGTCTATTTACTGTCTCTGTGTTTACCATCTTTGCCGGGTAAGGGCATAAGAAATCTGACAATGAGGAACAACAAGCCTGGTATTTCATTATTATTCGTGTGCATACTGCTTTTTCTGATGACTCAACCTACATTTTGGAAATTAAATAAAGAAAACAATCTGCCAGAGTTGTTTTGTGTGTCGATTAACTTCTCTCCTTTGCATCTCTGCAGGTATACAAACGTTTTCGGTTGTTTATTATTTTTGATTGAATACATTTTTGTGTAAACAGCCTCTTAGCTGGGGTAAGCATGTCCAGTTTTGTGTCCATTATCTTTTGACGTCACAATTTTACCTTAAAAACCAATGGGTAACATCAATGAGACTCAGTATTTATGTCCTACACTGGGCATGTATTTCCTAAATATATCATCTGTAAAGAGTTACATTTTCTATCAAATCATATTATCTATTTTTTTCAGCCAGTGTTAAAAATGGTGAAACAGTCACATGTCAAAGAATAAGAGTGCTTTCCTGAAGGACTTCAAAATCTATTTACTACTTCACAAAAAAAGGACAACAAAATCAAATAGGAATGAGTCACTGTACTTTCAGTTCAGTTTATGCGCAAGAGTACCATGTGAAAATGCAACATTGTGTGTTTTGAAGAGCATGACGACTCTTTTGTGGTTTTAGCACTTCCTTTTTTTGATAATTCAAGAGCAGCATAATAGATTTGGGGAAAAGGTGTCAAAGTGTGGTTTTATGAAAAGGAACTAAACTGTACACACCCCTATCACAGAGCAGATATAGAGCAGGGTGGTGGTGGCTTAGTGAGCCTTGAGAGAACTTAAACTGGGATTTCTAAACATGGCTGATATACCAGTCCTATTTCTTTAGCTGATGAAAGGTGACTGTTTGGATGCAAGTTTTTTATACATTACATAAGCACTGACTTAAAATCATTACTGCTGCTTTTGCACAACAAAGTATAGAATGAAAGTATCACTGTAGCAGTATAGCCCTTAGCTGCTTCAGAAAGCTCTGTCAACAAAGCACAATCAGTTAACCAAAAAGCATAACCCTTGATGGTAATGAAGGTTACAAATTTGGCTGCGGTCCTAAATCTTAACATAGGCAGAAACTTGCTGTGGTTGTTCTGTGGCCTGAACTGCAAGCAGAGAGAGGCATATACTCTCAGTCAAATATACAGTGAGTATATGCTGTGAATTATTATTACAGTGAGGTGAACAACCTTCAAACAATATCAATGATATCATAGTAAAGGATAAAACAAAGGTTTCGGCAAATTTTAACTGTGTAACTGCATTGTGCTAAATTCTGATTGACTTGTCTGTGTGCATGCAAAAACAGGGTCAACATTTGAGCAGGAAACTTGTAGCTTGTAACTTGGAAGTCATGCAGGAAAGGAAATTTAAATGTCTGTTTCAAACTGCATGAAGCTTTACTCCTGAAACTAATTTTGCCACAAATTTGTATAACACATGCACAACAAACAGCTGAAAAACTCTTGGCATGTTTTCAACCCTGAATCTGTGGCTTTTATTACCACGTTAACATGTTTGCTTTTTTTACATGCTTCCAAAAAATGGTACAGGGGGAAAAAAGACAAGAAAGAAAATAATGTCTGTAGCTTAAAAAAAAAATTATGACTCTTATAGTCTTCAACTTATGACTGCATATTGGGTGTCACTGTCATGTCGTCATGACTGAAATTTTAGAAAAACAGTCGACTTTTTCTGGCCACAAAAGAAGTTCATGGTCTCCAGTGGTGTGATGTGTTGATAGGCCCATTTGAGGCACATATCTGGATGATACGATGGTTGTTAAATGAACTGGAGGGAAACACAACCTGCCACCACAAGGTAGTAGGAGTGTTAAATGTCCTTACATGATGTAGCTTATGCATCAAACCATGGTGAAGGGTTTTTTGCTAGGATGCTAGGTCATACCTGCCAACATTTGGGTTATAAAACCTGGGAGATTTTTGCGACACACCCCTCACATTTTTGGGGTTACTTAGTGAAAGTATAGTGAGAGTATTTGTGATTAAATTGCTCATCCAAATATCAGTGGTGAAGTCCTCATATGTTTTACATGCTCTTCAGTATGAGGCTCTCTGAACATTTGTGTGTGAAATACAGCACTCTTTTATCTGAGGCTGCCCTGAACATACCACAGACAGTGCATGACTCTCAATGTAAAAATTATATCTCGCGCTTGTTTCGCTTTCATTGAAGTGTTGGTTTTACAACAAACACTGCTTAAATACAGTTTACAGCATAAACCGACCTGAATCATCCCAAATTGTAAGGTAAAAGGATCAATCCAGTGTCTGTGAGGCTCAGCAGAAACACAGGACAAGCTTTCGTTGTATGGAAACATGGCAACTTTGGACAAATATAGTGATCCGATTTATGAATGAACGTGGACCATGCAAACAATAACCATATTAATGGGAAACTTCAATCAAAATATTATGTTTAGATGTATGATTTATTGCCATCACTGGCTGTGTAATAGAAACTTCTAGTCTAACCAATTGTTTGTCATGTTTTCCTTTTGACATTTGTTCTGTCTTCTGTTTAGGTTGCTTTAATTCCTCATTGTAAAAACATGCTTTTATTTTGATATATAAACTACTTATGGTATATCATAAATCAGGGAACTGAATGAAAATAGTTAAGAGAAAGGAGACAGGCTCCAATGTTGAGCTGAAATCTACAAACAATAATGAAAGTGTCCAATCATCTTTTAGAAAGCTACTTCAAACCAGTTCACAGGTAGTCTGTGGCTGTTTCTTTAACTCTCCTCTGTTTATGGCCCTTGTTTTAAGGACCTCAACTATGAAGTCAAGGTTTTACCTTTTGCTTATTTTACAGTATTTCTAAGTTACTAAAACAACAACTCAAAATTGATCACACATGTGGCTAATAATGTGAAGAAACCAATATAAACTAGTTCAGAGAGGGTTTTTCCCCGTTACCAGGCCTGGGACAATGTGGTCTGTGATGTGGATGAAGTCCTGTGGCCTGATCCAGCATGAAGACATGATGCTGTGGCTGAATGATTGTAGATGCTGTAAACACCTGAGTTTGATATTGTGGTTCACACTATAATGTGCTTCTCATTTATAGTTGTGATTATTTTTACTGTATACGGGGGAGACATTCACAGAGGATTATTTTTCTTTTTTCTAAATTCTACTGAGAACAATAATTTCTACAGCTTCATGTCCTGGGCATTGTGTTTCCCATTGTTTATGTAGTGTATAATAACTGTTCAGTAGTGTTTTTAATTTTAATTGACTCCGGGTATGATCTGACAACACTGTATGGTTTTGCAGGACGAGTCAAAGGTTTGGTTTATGTAGTTTGAAAATTGGCTTTTGTGCTAATAGTGTTGAGAAAAGTGTGGTGGATGTCAAAATGTGATTTAGCAAATTGAGAAAAACTGTAAGCATGCAATCAATAATTAATATCTGAACAAAGATGGTTACTGCCAACACTAGTGTATAGCAACATCCCTACTATATGCAATTTTGTTTGTTTTGTCTGTTAAATGTACGACCACTACACAATTGATAGTCCTGTCAAATCATCCATTGAAGTGACAAAAAAAAAAAAACATCCCAGTATTTACCAACACTAACAGGGTCTATAATTATATGCTACAGTCATCACACTGGTAGTCTGTTCACTATCACACTCAGTATTCATGTGTGACTGATCAGCCACAACCAAACCTCTTTTACTATGTCTCCATTCAGCCTCTCTCAGGCAACTCATTGAAAGAGAGGAGACGCAGTTGCACTGAAGGAAACAGTAACTCAGTGTCATCCTGACACAAGTGTTGACACAGAGGAGAGGTCAGTCCTTGAGAAATGTTTGGAGGAACACGAAAATTTCCACAAGTTAACATCAAATATATGTAAATGTGCATGAGTGCAAATCAGATATGTGCTTCCAAATGTTTTGCAAAAGGAACAGGGTGTGTTGTGGGGACACATTCATATAAAATGTCATTTTCTTTGTAAGGGGCCTGACAACAGGGCTTATTTCCTCTTTTAAAGCTCAAACCGTCTTTATCTCACCACCTTTCTTCTTGTTGAAATGGCTCGACATGTAAACTATCTCTCCTTCTGCCCCCACACCCTCTCTATTGTCCCCGCACGGCGCCCAGGCATCAATTCAGCACAAGAATTTCCCCTTTCTTTCACTTCCTAGCTCTTGTGTGTGTGTGTGTGATAGAGAGAGAGAGAGAGAGAGAGAGAGAGAGAGAGAGAGAACGAAAGCACTTGACAAAGAGTGGCCTGGAAGTGTGTGTGCATGAACATGTTGCTCTCACAGCGTAGACTTCAGCATTTCTCATTTTTCAGCACCTAGCCTACAGTCATCATGAAACTTGTTGCTCCGCTGCGCTCACTTCTGCACACACACATGCAGGTTGACACACATGCATAACACAGTCGCCTTTGAAAGCCCACGCATGTCTGAACAAGACTGGCCCCTTTGACCTCATTTGACCTCCCCCTTTGTCGCTTCACGCTTCCAGTAAAATTTCTGTGTATTCCCATCTCTGCATCTCATGGGGGTCTGACTCACTCTGTCACATTCAATATTAATCATCTTCACAAGACTAGTTTGATCCCACACACAATGCTGTAGACAAAATAATGTGACAGACAGCAGGTTTCAAAGATCTACTGTGGTTGTCTCAAGATGCCACAACACCTGACGAGCCTAACAGACAGAGGAAATATTTTACATCGACATTGATGACTCTGGTATGATGAGGCTAGCAGACTTTGGTGATCTATTGCCTTTGACATCCATCAAAACAACCATTTATGACATTTTTGTTGATGATAATGGTGTCACGGCTGTGAACACTCATGACTAATATTCTTCATATTTGAATCCTTTCCATTGTTTGAATATGAGTCAGACTTCTAGCAATTCTCAGCACACTAACAAGCAGAAACCCATGAATAAATACAATACAGATCACACATGCATGCTGACCATAAGCAGAGTAGCCTGATGATGATGATGATGATGATGATGATGATGATGATGATGATGATGATGATGATGAGTGGGCTTGGGATACCAGTACTTGCTTTAAGAAAGCTTTCAGCCCAAAAAGATCTGCTAATTTTGTTTTTCAAGATCAGATTGATGGTAGGAAACTTTTTATGTTAAAGGTGCAGTCTGTACAAATGGGAATATCTGGCTGAAAGCTCCCTTACTTACGCCTCCCCTCTGTCAGTGAAGAGGTAATGAAGGTCAGTAGTTAACTAATATAGGTTTTTCAGTGGCTGATACTATTGCGGCAGCTATTGAATATTTTAGTAATGGCGTATTCTACCGAATATTCTATTGATTACTCGAGTAATTGGACCCAAACGGCAGACTCACATAAAGTTAGATTTCCTATAACCCCGCAATAAAGGCCAGACTCGGAGAAATAGAGGACAATCGCGGAACAAGCTTGTGCGTTAGCAGATTGCAATGCTCGTAAGAAAGCTAATTACGATATTAACGTTCATCATGTCCCTAAAGACATTAGTTTCCGAGAGCTGAATAGCTCCTATATTACCTGCGTCTGCTTTGAAAACAGCAATGATAGGCTACAAGATAGCGTGAAGAGAAGTGTGCAGAGCAGCGCTGTCCCCACCCACAACTCAGAGGCTAAGTGCTAATGAGCTACTGGAGCTCTGCACAAGAAAACAGTATTGCCAACTCCTCAGTGAAGAAAGTCATTAGTGGCTGTCATAAAAGTAGCTAGAAGTTGCCAGATGACGTCATCGCCTAATTTGCATAATCCCCCCTGAGAATTAGAAGGAGGAGAAGTCTTTTTTGGGGTGTCTGTCTGTGTCTGTGTTTTCAAAGAGTAGTAATGAAACCTGCTTTCGTGTTTGAGTCTCTAAACTACAGAAAAAGTTGCAAGATTTGTAGCTAGGCCCTTATCGAAAATAATTCGCCAGGGGAGTCTGAAAAGTCGGTAAAGTCACTAGGTTGGCAACACTGCAAGAAAAGCCCCTCTCATCATTTTTTTTTTCCGTGCCGCAAAACCTAAACAGCGCTTACTCCTCCTTCTACTGTGGTGACGTAAGCGCATTGTGTCACCTTCAAAAGAATCCGTGTGAAACAGTGACGATTTGAGCCTGTAAACGAGTACTTGAGGCAGAGAGAATTCCTCGATCATTATTTGTAATCACGGTACTCGAGGTATTCGAGGAATCGTTTCAGCCCTAGCTGATACCACTGCCAATATCTACAGAGCATGCTAATATACAGTGTAATGCCAATATCACATGGTTGTTTTTATGCTGTGTTTTAGGAAATAGTACTGTTAAATAACAATAACAGCCATTTTTAAAAGCACAATCTAATCTCAAGGTTATTTTTCAGACAGATTTTAGATTATTTTTATGAATTTGACACTCATCATCAGGATTGATTGTTTGGACTCAATAGTGTTATAGTTCGTCTTACTAGTCTTACAGGAAGACTAGTTATTAGATTGTCCTCTCTGTCATCTGTGATTCACTCCCTCACATGAGTGATACCAACCAAGAGCGCTTTGCACACACTCAAGTTACCGGCATGAATATGTCAAAGCATGAGACAAAGAGGAGCGCTGAAGATGGTGCCGTGAGATTTAACAATCAGAGGAAAGGTTTTAATGCTCAGGCAAACACATCCTTGCCTTCATGTGTTGTCCAGGGATACATTACCACAGACTGAAAAAGAGAAACGCTATAAGAAAATGACAGAGAGGCTACAGCAATCTGGTGAATAACTGCTCTTAGCATTTCCGGGTGCCGTCTAGCCCTGTCCCTCTTCCTTCCAACATCTTCTTGTCCGTTTTAATGACTGATAGTGTATAAATGCAGTCTGTCATATGAGTCGGTCAAGTCATGGCATGATTTTGTGATCATAAAACCTGACACAGTGACCAAAATGACTGACATAAAGGTTGTGTTGCTGTCAAACACACATTGCATGATGGCAGCCTCCGTGTTAGGAGACCCCCTCCTGTATAGATCTAAAAACCTCATCAAGAGTGAACAAAAACAAAAACACTTTGAAATTTCAGGTGGTCCTACACTGGCTTGAACATACTCACAAATAATAGATAACATTTCTATCAAGTCTGTTCTGCCTAATGCTACACACTGCACCTTTAAAAACATAATTCTAGAGAATGAATGTGTCAGAGCACAATGGGAACCTAGAAGTCAACAGAAATACATTTCAAAAACTTGGTTTTAAATGTGATATTTTTATTGAGTCTGTTTTAAATTCGCTTTACATCAAAACAGGTTTATTTATAAAATAAAAACAAGAGAGAAGGATTCACATATTCAATGCCACATTTTAAATGCCAAAAACCGTACGTAGGGGGGTTCAACTTTTGATCTGTGGTTACACCCCATATTCAGTCTTACAGTTTAGGAGTGTGTCAACTTAACTTTTATAAATTATGAGACTTGACTGTATTACTGTCAGATTTGACGGCAACTCCCTCACAAAGTCAGCTTTTCATCTGGTTGAAAAAACATTTTTAAGAATTGATTTGAAATGTGCTTTAAGGCTAATTTGACTTTGCTGCACCTCTTTACGTAGCTTCAAACCTGTGGCATACAACACTTAAGACAGTAGAAAACACCACCTGACAAAACCATTTCCTGTCCTATTTTTCGAAGCACCTGAATTTTACTTTTTTTTGTGACATGTATCTGGCATTATTTTCATCTCACTTTTATCTTTATAATCCCATTTTTGTCCCAATCTTAGAGAACAGTAAACTCAGTTTACAGCACCAAAATAAGGAAAAGTTGACATCATTTTTTAAACCCAGTTTCAGAGTGTGTTGAATTTGTGGTTTTACCCTGTAACAGTCTCACTTTGCATCACCCCACTACTCTGCTAGCTACAGAGTGACGGAGCAAAGAATGTGCAAGAGAGAGTTATCTGAAGAACAAAAGCGGCTCTTTGTTGTCGGGTCTTAGAGCTGAAGTGACAGCCTGCTTGAATAAGGGTCAAAGATCGCTGGCTGGTTTGGAGGCTGTTTAAGCCAATGAACCAGAGACATGCAGACACAAACTTACAGCCAAACAGCTAAGACAACCTTTGAGACAGTTACCATGACAAGATATGAAGAGCTAGACCACCAAGACAATTTAAAACTGAAACATTCTACATCAATTGAGCTTGAACATTTCAAATGTGTTTTAATGGACTTGGATTATCTTCAAAAGTAAGCATATAATCCATGCACATGTGTACAGTAACAGCAAAATATTAAAGGATGAGGAATCTGAAGAAGTCTGTTTTTCAGCTGTCTTTTTGCCCAAGTTTCTGTGGGAAGATTACACAGTGCCACAATGTTTTGCACTGTTGCCAACATGTCAACTTGATAAGATTTGGATTTGTTGTCTTTAATTGCAAAACAAGAAACAACTTGCCTTCTACAACATGCTATCTAACAGCTGAATTTACAGCATGCAGTGGCTGCAGCTTAGGACGTGTTTGTGAAAAAGAGACCGGCTCCTAATTATACCACAAAAGCCTCTGAGAGACTCAAAACAACTCATCAGAAGTATACATCATAACTTTGAGCTTTCTTTTCTCATGCAAAGCAACAAATGCCACAACAAAAACCCAACAGAGCTTTGTCAAAGCAGGAATGAGAATCAAAGATGTCTGCACAGAGTGGTTTCAAGGTGAAGTGCAAGACAAGATGTAATGTGGCTTTGAAAGAATTTTCCCTGGGCTACATGAATGTGAGGACCTTGAATTCTTTGTGAAAGCACTATAATGATGTCTGCAGGAGCATGTATGTCTACTTTTATCTGTGTATTCAGGTCCTCTGTGAGGAAATTGGAGGAGCAGGTGGAATGCTGCAGATATGTCCTCTGGGGCTATGAATAAATCAATAAAACAACACACACACTCATGCACATGCACAGACAAAAGCCTGCATGTTATTAAGCTTAAATCACCCCCAGTGTGGCTGTAGGTACAGGTCACGAGGTTTTAGTCTGCCATTAGGGGCTTTATCTTCCTCATTATGAAAAATGCATACGTTTCTTCATGAGTCACACAATCACACAACATTTGCATGTAAAGGGAGACAGCTTTTCAGAAATTCCCTCATTTGACATTTGCAACATCAAGAGCCTCCATCTGCATTAGCCGGTTCACAAATGTTTCAACATGGGCAATGCCCTAAATACTGTGAGACTTTTCACACATAGCTTTTTTTTTACCTGAGTGAAGTCTTTTGATTGTACACTTAAGCACAGCCAGGAAACCACAATACACAGCCGTGAAAAAACACAGAGGATGCATGAAGAGCTGACTTCTGCACTTGATGTCTGCCTTGTAAGACCAGAGTAAACCAAGCACTATACCTATCTTTCAATACAAAATGGATGATGAGGAGAAGAGTGCAATACATAAGACTTCACAATCAACTGCAAGGTTCCACTCATGACCCCCCAAAAACAAATATGCACATTATCAAACTACATGTGAAAATGACAATAAAACATTAAAGCTTAATCTATGAAGCTGCTGCAAATGTAATACAATTTGTATAAATGTATTAAAAAGACTGAATACCCAGCTGTCTTTCTAATGACAGGCTGAGTTATACATTTAATTCTGATTGACTGAAAGCCATTTGACAACAATTATAATTCTGAACAGTAAAAGCAAGCCCAGGGACAAGACATATCAAATGAAGTCAATCTGCATGACGGAGTCTGGCAGTTATAAAGTTTATGATTTCTGCTCTTCCTGTTGACAACATGGCAAAATGTTGTTTTCTAATGGCATCTGTATAACAACATATACGATATTTTCAATAATTTTCTCAATCCACTTGGAGAACACAAAACTTAAGATTTGGGGTTCATGGCTGATCAGTTAACATAAAAAAGAAGAGAAGAGGTGAAAAACTGAGGAAAAATGAGGAACACTGAGGGATGTTTAAACACAAGTAGCTGTAAAAGAGACTTTGACCAAATTAAAGAAAGCAGACAACAAAGTAACCACCAAAACCAACAAGGTGCAGGCTTTGGCAGTGTTACAGTGCTGGTACCAACATGGAAGAGGCTCTCATACAGGGGTAGTTATCGATACCACACCTGTAGTTATTGGAATCATAAAGTCAAAAATTCAAGATATCCATGGCATAAGGGGCGTTTTCTCTGATAGGCTACCTATGTGCTCAAAATTATATAAAGAAATCATATTTACTAATGGCTCTGCATCATTTGAGGTTGGACAGCATTTGTGGTCGTTCAGCGAACAGTCTTGATGCTCTTCAAGGTGTGTTAAAGACTCACACTTCCTCTAAGAAACTATTAAAAAGAATTTGAAAACACACATAAATAGCAGTCAAAGGTCAAAATGGTCTCTCATAATGTCGTGCTCAATCTAATGCTGTGTATAAATGTGTTGACATTAGTCCGACGATCAGTGATTGACACCGCAGTGTCTTTCTCCTTCAGGTGTGCGGGCTTACCTTGAACAATTCCCAAGACTCAGGTGTCGATGTTTCCGGGTCTCCTTACAGGATTTTCTACTGCTCCAGTCTCCAGTGAAAACTGTAGGCTACCCTGGAAAAACACCGCAAAGACGAGCTTATTCGGACGCAAACGGTTAACCGGTGCTGACTAACTAGGAGGAGAGGAAAGACTAAGCACTTGTTCTGTTTATTGTCGGGTAATAATTGAAGCTCTTGAATCACTTTAAACTACGAAAGGTACTGAAACAGACCAGACGGCTAAAGTGCAGGACTCCGTCACAACACCTCAGGCTCGCGGAGAGCTTGTCAGCGCGACCAAGGTGTGAGTCAGAACTACTGTCAGTTAACCAAAGCGAAGGAGTGCTATTTCCGGTAAAGATTTCAGAATAATTCTCCAGGCGTATAAAAGGCAGAGAGGACCAAAGCTGATGTGTTCTGTACGAAATTGCTTCATATGTCACTGAGTTATGCCGTTTCACAAAGAAATAGATGCATAACCGCATGATCAATCAGTTTGGTCAGAATCAGCTTCACTATCCAAACATAGCAAGACATAGTAAGAAATTAATTAAATGTAATTTTGAAATACGTGAACATTGATTGGAATCAATGGTACAAACCTGTTTGCCTGTTAAATTCCTTAATGTACCTCAAATTTTGCTCTTTTTAGTAAGGTCCAGTTTTCAATGTCGAATGTTCAGTATATAAGCAGCTGTTCATGGCACTTGTGTGTCATTTTATTTTGAAGGAAATACTTTTTCCGTTTTCCATTCTATATATGTCTTATCTGACTACAACCGAGTTTTAAGGTGTAAAACGGGAATCCAGAGGTGGTGAGTGGATCTGGACGCGGGGGTTCAGAGAAGGAGTCAGTTTCCTTCCAAATCACTGTCAATCACACAGTCCTCAGAGGTTGTAAATTTACAAATATCTTATCAGTGTGTGATGGACATAAAAGACTTCAACTTGTGTACATCATTCTCAAATATACAAAGAGGTAGGCTGACCTTTACCAGGGTGTTACATAAGAGCAATATCAGATTAGGCTATTGCACAAGTTCCCCAATAAAGTGCATATAAAGTGCCTGGACGCCGTTGGTGCTCATGCCTCAATATTCAAAAAATTAAAAAAGTTATTGTTAGACCTTACTGAAGGCACCCATGCATTTTTTAAGCCGTACACTCACCCTACTGTGTCAAATACTTGATTGTGATTGAACAAAACTCCATGCTTGTGTCATTCTAATTTCAAAAAGAAAAAGCAACTTCAGGGACAACCAAATCATATACGTCCTATCTAGTCTAATCATTCTGAGGAAAGGTGCCTGACACATTTATATATTTCACGACTTCCTGTTGACAATGTGGCACAGACTTAGTTTCTGATGGCACATGTAAAAACATGGAGGACATTTTTTATTACTTCACAGAATTTCTGCCACTAATGACAAAAGTTAAGCCTAATTTTATGCTTGTTTTGAACGTTTGCAACCTCATCATTAATAAATCAAAGACCATCTGACAATGTGGTGGTGCAAACGCTTTCTCAGGAAAACCAGCAATCTTCACTTGAGACAACAACAGTAGCAGCAGCAAAAGGAAACAGAATCTCAAGAAAGCAACTTGTTATCACCTGAAAACAGAGAAATAAAATGTACGGGTGATTTTCTGTGTTGGGCTTGCATAATTAGTGCATTCTGTGGTTCACTCACTGCATCAACGTTGATATCTGGAATAGGCCACATGTTGAAGCAAGCCATCCTTCAATTGGCACAGGCAGCTGGCACATTCTCAGGTTTCACATGTTACCACAAACCACAAACGTTTCTTCAAGAAGCTTTGATGACTTTAAAACCAAGAAAAAAACAAACACACTGTTTTCTGCAAACGTGATTTTTCTGTGGGGCAAGAATGAAATTCACTAGCTTTTCAGAAGGAGTGGTTTGAGAAATTGACACTGAACAGCAACAACAGAGAATGATTACCTTCTGCTTGCTTCATCAGAAATGAGTGCTTTCTTCATCAGCAACAAAATCAGGAACACAGGTTTCAAAAGCATTTTTGTGGCATAATAATATCTTCAATGTGTTTAAGTTTAAATAACTGCAGGGATAAGCCCCGCTCTACCATTTGACAGCTCTCTCTCTCTCTCTCTCTCTCTAAAATAATCTTGACTAAGATAATAAGAACTGACCTGAACCCATCTTGGCTACAAAGTTTTCCTGTAAACATTACAGTTGACTTTTCCGCTCTGCTGTATGTCTGGAAAGCTCCAAGTGGCACCACAATACATCTGTGAGAGTGTCACACAAAAGGAGCTAACAAAGTCTTTCAGGTCTTTAGGTTATGTTGAGCTAAACTCAACCAAAAACCAAAAGTAATAGAGAACTTTTACAAAAACACATGCACGCGTTCTTTATATGTAGTCTGCAGGTATAAAAGCAGCTTAATAAGTAAACCTGCAGGACGGACCCGCAGCATTAACTGGGGTTATTGTTCATGCTGAGAGCCAATAACTGTAAAGACATTTCCCACAGAGAACAAAAGCTACACTTTTTATATGAAGGCTTACATCTTATTACAGCTGAGGAGGGAAAAGGGTAAAATAAAATTAATAAAAACAGGGAGAAAGAGAGGAGACAAAGGAGGAAGTGGTAGATTGAGCACCTGGCTCCTCTTTTCTGTTTAACTGTCTACGTGAATGGTTGTGCATGTGTGGTTTTGTGTGTGTGTGTGTGTGTGTGTGTGTGTGTGTGTGTCTAGAGAAGGATTTGTCAGTTGATTTGCGTGGGTTTGGATAATAAAGGGCCCGCTGTCTCTGCAATGACAAGTGTGCTTGAAACTACACACACATACACATGCACACACACTCTTTTCTCTGATCTTAGAGAAGAATAAGAGGAGTGCAGGTTGATAAAAAGGGGAGATGGAGCGAAGAGGAAAAACACAACTAACAACAACAAAAGAGACAGAGTGTGGGGGTTGGCGGGGAATGTATGGCCTGTAACTTCTCAACACATCAGTGTGTAAAAGCCATTGCAGATGCTGTCTGTGTCTGAGGTCATTCTTAATAGATGAACTATAAGTCCTGCAAACATCAGGGTAAGGTGCAGCCAAGCAGGGCTTGTTTGAGCATTCCTGTCAGCAGCGGAAAACTTCCTCTGCTTGTGGATTGTCCTGAAAGAGTGAAGAAATATCACCTGGATAGAACTCCAAATATGGTGAAAAGATTCTCTTTTGGTTTGAAGTGAAGGGCAAGTGTGTTTGTGGCTCATCATGTGACACAGCAATAGTCAATATGCAGCCCAGCAGGAAATAAATACATAATAAAAAAAACCTTTCTTAGTCAGTCAGGCAATACTTAAGTTAACACTTTGTAATTATGGTTTCCCATGAGCCACCTCCGAAGGGGAAATCCTGAAGTTAAGTTTCTCAAATCCATCAAGCTCAGCCTAGTGCTCTCTGTAAATGAGTGTTTTCTCTGATCTTGTGTAAACAAGCAGCAGTGTGAGGGGAAGCACACACCTTTTCATATCATGTTAACAATGAGACATTGTAAACTGTTTAACATACATTTATTACTGCATTCGTAAGGACTAGGACCAACACTTTGTGCAAAACCTCGAAGAGAATTCATACAGCCTCAATAAAAAATGTATGTAGTAATTGTGTGCATGGGGAAACTTGATATTCATCTCAAATTCTTGTTTGTATTCAGGGTCAGTTTCAGAATGAGATGCAAAAAGTACAACCCCAACTTCAGAAGAATCTTGACAATGTGTTAATGATAACAGAATCTGATGATTTTAAAGTTCTTCATAGCTAAATTTAAACAGCAGATCAAATGTTATAATTTAAAGTTGGTCTTGTTTTATCAAAGAGTAAATTTCCATATGTTTTTATTTGATGCCAGGCACTCACTTCAAAACAGTTAGGACAGGATAAAGAAAATACTGTAGAAGTTGTGTAATACAAAAAATAAATAAATACAAACCAAAAGAAGAAAACTTAGAGGAGCATCTCCCATTTAATTAAATTGATTAGCAGCACGCTAGTAACACTAACATGAATGGATGTAAAATTTTTCATAAAACTGTTAAGAATTAGGTACTATATCATCTACAGCATAGTACTGCATTAAAAAATTGATATAATTGTATGAGAACAGCACACCCTGGAAACCTGTACCACTGAGGAGTGAAGCCAATACTCAGGCGCTGAGATTGAGGGCTGCTGGCTTCTTAAAGGGCCTTCATTGTAGATGCAGATCAGGTGTGGAGTCTCACTCAGCCTCAGAGACTGGGGGAAAGGAAAGTGCACTGAAACAACAGTCAAGCCAGACCAGGGGCCTCATTTATAAAACCTGGCGTAGGAGCCATACTAAAAGTGTACGTAAGTTGAAAAGCTGAAAAGTGCGAAGGCCAAAAAAATTGGATTTATAAAACCCTGCCTACGCACACCTGCACGCACTTTCCCTTTATAAATCACAGACCAGCCGGAAAGTTTCGCAGCAGGGATTCGATTCATGCCCCGCCCTCTCCACACCCAAAATTCACCATTTATGGTCATGCAAATTACCTCATGAATATGATTAGCATATAAATAAGCCTGATGGATCCACGGCATTTCACGTTTAATCATGGCATCAGCAAGTCGTAGAAAAAGACACTTTTCAGAGACTGAGGTGGAGGTTCTTGTAAATGAGGTGGCGGCGAGACGGGAGACCTTATTCGGTGGCCATTCGAGTGGCATCACTAATAAAAGAAAAGCCACCGGATGGCACGCCGTTGCCATGGCGGTAAGTGCGGCTGGCACTGAGCACAGCGTTGCCGAAATCAAGAAGAAGTGGTCTGATCTAAAGGTGGAGGCAAAGAAAAAAGTGGCTTTGCACCGTCGGAGCGTGGCGGCGACAGGTGAGGATCAGAAAACACAAGCACGTGTGACACTCATGCAAGTGTTCCAAAAAAAAACTGCTCCGTTATCCACCGCTGCTTATGTGGTGAAAGTTCGTAAACCAAAAAGATTTAGTCATATTAATCTTAAAACAAATGCATGGAAATGGAAATTGTTTTTTTGCACATTTGTAAATTCAAATTGGCAAATTTTCTACACTGCCAAAGTGGGGTCTGTGCTTTCTGCGAGCATCACTGCCTGGTACAGCAGCTGCAGCTCTCAGGACAGAAAGGCCCTGCATCGAGTCATCCGTTGTGCTGAACGCATCACCCGGACTGCACTTCCCGGCCTCCAGGACATCTACACCCAGCGCTGCAGGTCCAGGGCAAGACGGATTATCAAACACTCACCATCCCATCCACAGACTGTTTGAGTGGCTGCCCTCAGGTAGAGGCTTTGCT